TTTACCAACATTGTTCTCTTGAGTGACTAGTGACGCGAGCCAGCCAAGGACAGTTGACGTTGGGTCTGTCATGTCATAGTAGACACATGCTCTCAAGCGTCGTGTAATCCTCACCGTTCATATTTACCTGTCCAAGTATATAGTGCAGCCAGTCCTTCTTCAATGTGTTCCTGATAGACATTGGTCAGTACATTCTCGCTCAAGTCAGAGTGCACAGTCGTCACTCGTCATACTGAGACATCTTGTTGGAGTCCAGCGTAGCTCTAACTTTGAGATCAATGGTGTCTCCTGTTGTCTCTCCATCAGTCCTGCGAGCTCTGAGGCGTGTCTGGTTGTTGTGTTTCTTGAGAGTTCGCAAGTCTTAACTGCCGAGAGTCCTTCACTCATACTAGTATTGAATTTCAGTCTTAACGGCCTCCAGACCTTCCCTCATTTCAGTCATGAATGGACTCAGAGTCTCATACACTGCTGCAGTTAACCTCACAACTAGTGATGTACATAGAACCTTGGTAATGAAGCTATTTCACTTACGAATTTCTCACCATCACATTGGGAAGCTCCGGTCTTCATGAGAGAGAATGTAAATGCTGCCACCACAACCAACTGGAGACTCTTCATCCTTCCACTTTAGCGATGGTATTCTTTAGCTCGTCTTTACAACTGAAATAAAGACTGCACCTCTTTCCTTGGTTATACTGCCATAAACAAACTCTGGAACCTATGTCAGCATGGTTACACTTCAGTCTACCTAAATTATAACAGCCTTGTTTGTTACTAAAGACAACATCCCCGGCCCTTGTCTCTCTGTAGTTGGCATTGTTTGTCACTAGGCTCTACAGTGTATACTTGGTTTGTGTGTCTGTCTGCACATACAGCAATAGTGCAGCTCAAAAATTACAATACCTATGGCTTTAGTACTACGGTGTTTATGCACATTATCGTATATCATGTACATGAGAGAGGGAGAAAGAAAAAAGAGCTGTCCTGGGTGTTGTTGTGCCTTTGCCTTTCTACCTCGTAGTTTTCACATACACTGAATGACTGTACATGTTACATCTAGGTGAAGGAGAAGGAGCAGGCACACAGGGAGTATAGAGAGGCCATCAGTAAAGGTCATGGAGCTTACCTCATGGACGAGGAGACACCAGTTAGTTGCATCCTCTTTCTCCATCTCTCTCTTCCTCTCCTACTATTAATTCACGTCTACCTTCTTTGCGTTTCTTTAAAATTCTTGTGTGACTGTCATAGAATGTGCATTCCATGTGTTGTTTGTTCAAATGTTGCTACTTTTTTACACTGCTTGGGTGGAGCACATCACATAATTGTCTAACATTCCTCTCTCTCTCCCTCCCTCCCTCTTCCTCCCTCTCCCCCTCATCAGGACGTGTTCACAGTCAGTGTGGGTAACCTACCGCCAGGGGCCAGTGTCCTAATTAAGATCACCTACGTCGCCGAGCTCGTCGTCGAGGGAGAAAACATTGTATTCTCGTTGCCTGGCAACGTGGCGCCGTGGAAACAGGAGACTGCTCTTGACCAAACAACTCAGACCGACGTGAAAACTACGAAGGTCAAGAAACAGAGGTACGTATACTTCCGTAGTTTACTTGACACTATATATGAGTGAAGAAGACGATTGTTGTAGCAAAATTATTCTCCTCTCCTCCTCTGTGCAGTGGAGAGCTGTCTGTCCAGGTTGCCGTGGAGATGCCGTTTAACATCAAGACTATTGAGTCGCCCACCCACAAGATCAAGCTGAAGGTCAGTATGTACGCACAACAGAAGCCACTGAGGATGGGACACTTTCCACATCCACTTTATTTCAAAGTTATGAGTCGAAAAAAATGTCAACTGTTTTTGGGTAGAGTGGAGTAAGGGATATGAAGCCCTTGGCTTTGAGATTAACACTTGTGGAAACTGTTGCGATTTCTACATCACGTAATCAAGCAGCCCTCTTTGTAAAACCCTTTGGTCTCTGATTTTTTTTTCTCGTGTGCAGAAAACTGCGAGTATGGCCACGGTGGAGCTGTGTCCCCATTCCGTTCTGGGGGCGGGGTTCACTCTACTGGTGGGTCTGTCTGAGATCCATGTCCCTAGGATGTGGGTGGAGGAGGACAAGAAAGGGCATCATGTGAGCACCATCTCCCTCTCTGTCTGCTTCTCTCTCTTTTCTATCACGGACTTGGATTTTTCTTATCTTGCCTATAAACAGAGTTTGTATGTGTGTGTGTGTGTGTGTGCGTGTGTGTGTGAGTGTATGTATATAGTATACTAATGTACATATGTAGGTTATTTTTCTCTTATTACTGCACTGCAGGCGTGTATGCTGACGTTCTATCCCGAGTTCGAAGTTGACGAAATCTCAGACAACGAGATAATCTTCTTACTTGACCTCTCCAACTCCATGAAGGTACCGTACATACTAGTGAAACAAGTGTGGGAGGCAGAAGAACCAGACATGTGGTACACCTACATACTTTTGGAAGCGTCTATTAAGGCGATACCAGCAATCCTACTTGTATACACGTCCATACTACATACTTATAGAAAGTGAGGGAAGTATAGTTTGTGGAGTGTTGCCATTATTGTATTATAGAGTATACGAAAATAGATTTACGTGTATTTAATCACCCCCTGATTCGTACTCCTGCAAATTTCTCCAGAAATAATACAGGAAGTTGGCATAATAATTACTACTGCACATGTATGCCAGCCAACGTCCCAGCATCAATCAATGAGTTGCATGTTGTTCGCCCTGTCGCATTACTTGATCGTCTTGTTCTCTTACCCTCCCATTTCCCCCCTCCCTCCCTCTCTCTCTCTCTCTCTCTCTCTCTCCCTCTCTCTCTCTCTCTCTCTCTCTCTCTCTCTCTCTCTCTCTCTCTCTCTCTCTCTCTCTCTCTCTATCCCCCGCACCGTCTTCTGTCCAGGACTGTGCAGAGAATGCCAAGAAGGTTCTACTGCTTCTGCTCCACCATCTGCCCACAAAGTGCCATTTCAACGTATTAGCCTTCGGAGGGAGTGAGCCATTCACACATTACTGTTTGCCATTTCAACGTATTAGCCTTCGGAGGAAGTGAGCCAGTCACACATTACTGTTTTTTCAACTCTTCTCTGTTAAAGAGGCTGTGGCAGTACTTAAGGCCTAACTTTAGAAATATGTACACTGTGTTCAACTCTTATATTTATCGTATAAGGAAATGTGGTTGAACATAAGGGCTAAAAATAGACAATAGGTCCCAGTGTGTGCAATCACATGTACGTTTCCGTTTTGAGTAATATTACTCATTAGCCCATATAATGCATTACTTCCACATTCCCCATTAATTCCGTAAGTCAGTAACACGTTCTAGTTCACCTCTCATTGCACCTTCTCTCCTTATCCCAGCACATGAAGCAGTGTTCCCAGTCAGTGTGATGAAGAACAAAGACACCCTCTCCACCGCACAAAAATTTGTCCAGGTTCGGAAATTTTTAGTAATTTTTTCACCGACTGTATAATTTTGACTTTGCTAGGAACGCGTTCCAAATATGGGCAGCACTGACGTCTGGAGGCCTCTTCGTGCACTTCAGTTGCTATCGGAGACAAGCCCCACCTCCTCGTCGTTGCCGGGGGAAACGACATCCCTCCCTCCCCGTTCGGTGTTTCTGGTGTCCGATGGTCATGTGACTGACGAGGGGGCGACCCTGTCCGTTATCAGACAGGCATTGCGAAACTGTCGGCTCTTCACTTTTGGAGTCAGGTAAATTTTGTCTGAATCAGGTAAAGATTGGATGAGTCAGGTAACCTTTTGGCCCCTGCACTGTTGTGTAGTACCGACGATCAAAGCCATTTTTCTCCCAAGAAAGTTTTAGACTCTTGGCTTTTGGTATAATATACAGATGATATTATTTTGGCCTCGTATGTTATTATGTAGTACCAACAAACAAACTCACACTCATATTTTTTTCTCCCGAGAAAGTTTTAGACTCTTCGCGTTTCGTACACATAATATTATTTTGGCCTTGTACACATTATGTAGTACCAAGAGAATGTAGCAACCAAAGCTTCAACTCTTGTTGACAAGTTGGAGCTGCCGTTCATACTGTATGCTTGTGTGGTCTTCACTGAGCAACGTAACTAGCAGGACCCTGCATCAAGTTCATACTGTATGCTTGTGTGGTCTTCACTGAGTAACTATATAGCAGGACCCTGCATCAAGTTCATACTGTATGCTTGTGTGGTCTTCACTGAGTAACTATATAGCAGGACCCTGCATCAAGTTCATACTGTATGCTTGTGTGGTCTTCACTGAGTAACTATATAGCAGGACCCTGCATCAAGTTCATACTGTATGCTCACGTGGTCCTCACTGAGCAACGTAACTAGCAGGACCCTGCATCAAGTTCATACTGTATGCTCGCGTGGTCTTCACTGAGTAACTATATAGCAGGACCCTGCATCAAGTTCATACTGTATGCTTGTGTGGTCTTCACTGAGTAACTATATAGCAGGACCCTGCATCAAGTTCATACTGTATGCTTGTGTGGTCTTCACTGAGTAACTATATAGCAGGACCCTGCATCAAGTTCATACTGTATGCTTGTGTGGTCTTCACTGAGTAACTATATAGCAGGACCCTGCATCAAGTTCATACTGTATGCTTGTGTGGTCTTCACTGAGTAACTATATAGCAGGACCCTGCATCAAGTTCATACTGTATGCTCACGTGGTCCTCACTGAGCAACGTAACTAGCAGGACCCTGCATCAAGTTCATACTGTATGCTCGCGTGGTCTTCACTGAGTAACTATATAGCAGGACCCTGCATCAAGTTCATACTGTATGCTTGTGTGGTCTTCACTGAGTAACTATATAGCAGGACCCTGCATCAAGTTCATACTGTATGCTTGTGTGGTCTTCACTGAGTAACTATATAGCAGGACCCTGCATCAAGTTCATACTGTATGCTTGTGTGGTCTTCACTGAGTAACTATATAGCAGGACCCTGCATCAAGTTCATACTGTATGCTCGCGTGGTCCTCACTGAATAACTATATAGCAGGACCCTGCATCAAGTTCATACTGTATGCTCACGTGGTCCTCACTGAGCAACGTAACTAGCAGGACCCTGCATCAAGTTCATACTGTATGCTCGCGTGGTCTTCACTGAGCAACGTAACTAGCAGGACCCTGCATCAAGTTCATACTGTATGCTCACGTGGTCCTCACTGAGCAACGTAACTAGCAGGACCCTGCATCAAGTTCATAGCTCGCGTGGTCCTCACTGAGCAACGTAACTAGCAGGACCCTGCATCAAGTTCATAGTGTATGCTTGCGTGGTCCTCACCGAGCAACGTAACTAGCAGGACCCTGCATCAAGTTCATAGCTCGCGTGGTCCTCACTGAGCAACGTAACTAGCAGGACCCTGCATCAAGTTCATAGCTCGCGTGGTCCTCACTGAGCAACGTAACTAGCAGGACCCTGCATCAAGTTCATACTGTATGCTTGCGTGGTCCTCACTGAGCAACGTAACTAGCAGGACCCTGCATCAAGTTCATAGCTCGCGTGGTCCTCACTGAGTATAACTATATAGCAACGTAACTAGCAGGACCCTGCATCAAGGTCACAATCACTATAGTGGGATTTTACTTAGGACCCTGCATCAAGTTTACAATCACTATAGTAGGATTTTATACGTATGTTCAATTAAAGGGAACGTGGCAGTATATAAAGGCTAAATACTAAAAACAATAGGGGCACAGTGAAAGAATACATTTCAGTTCCGGTTTTTAGTAACATTTCTAAATTTAGCCGTATGTACTGCCACATTGTTTCCTACTATGGCAAACTTTTGTTGGTTTCTACGTAACTTGCTACGTTCATTTCCGTTCCCTCGGCAGCTCCACGGCCAACCGGCATTTCCTCAGAGCCATGGCGAGGGTCGGCGCCGGTTGCGAAGAGTTCTTCGACCCAAAGACCAAGTCTCGTTGGGAGAGAAAGGTCAGAGGTCAGCTGGCCAAGGCGTTCCAGCCGGCGCTGACGGCATTGTCGGTCGAGTGGCAGCAGTTCGACGACAACGCCCCCAAACCAGTCCAGGTAGCCAAGGGGTTAAATTTAGTTCAAAGCAAGTATTGATGGGTTAACTGTGAGGTCCAGTCTAGTTAGTTTTTTGGGGTTAAATTTGATTCCATGTAGATAAAAACCAGCCCTGTGTACTTAGGGAGTTAAATATACAACTGAGCTCCACGACTATACAAGTGTGTGAAGAGAGGAAAAAATTCATTCTGTGTGTGTTCCAATAGGCTCCTCAGGAGATGGTGTCACTGTTTAGTGGTTCGAGACAAGTTGTCTACGGCTTTGTTCCTCACTGCAAACAGGTATCCACTTATATACATATACATACAGTACTTGCTACTAGATACTAGAGGAATGTGACGTAGAACATTGTGCAATGGTGCAAGCATTTCAATGTTTCGTGTGTGTTTGGCTCGTATTTAGAATCACGTAAACGACATTACGGTATGTTGGTCTGTGGGTCGGTTGACGGTTGCATACATAAAGATTCCGCATTCAGACGCCTAGGCACTTGCCAACTAAGGGTATATACTCGATACTGAATTGAGGCATAATACCTCACAATATTATGCTGATAAAAAATCATTAAAGTATGAGTGACACGAAGTGGTTGATTCAACCAACCAGTATCAAGTTTTTCAAGGCAGCAAAACTCTTATCCACACAACACACGATATGATCAATATTCTGGTACGTAGCAAATATTTTGTCCTCACACATTTGTTGTACGTAGACGTCTACATTATAAAGTAACTGCAGTTCTTCTGAGGAGCTGTATTCTCGTCGTCTCACTTCACATACAGCTCCAAATGGGAGATGATAACGTTGGAATACTGCGACGTGTGGTGGTTACATATTCGGACTTCAATCGGTCCGCTGGTTGGTTCCGGGAGTGCCTGGCTGAAACACAGCGGGCCGTCAAACTGACAGCATCTTCCTTCGTAATTACACCCGTCACCATCCCATAGAACGTCGTCTGAGTGTAGGTGGTATCCGCTTGATCCGTAGGGGGCATTGTTCCCTGATTCGCAGTACCAACAGGCGCCGACAAACGAAGGAATGAAAGTTGCGCTTACTTGTTCGCACGGACAGAACCAGTTTTGACGGTTGGAAGTTGCACGTTCGTAGCGCCCGGCTGCATACGTCCACACGTGTTGCCGTGGGTTACCGCGAGTTATGCTCACCCCCGTCACGTAGCTGTCGTCAATAGTGATGCTCCTGTTGAGATGGCTCGTGTAGAAAGCTTCCGTACTCCCAAATTGGTATCCCTGAACAACTCCGCAAATCTGGGAATACGAACCTTCGACCTCGAACTTTACCGAGTCACAAGTTTTCTCTTCGTGTGACTCTCGGCCACACCCCCTTGCCGGGGGAGGAGTGAGGTGCCAACCGGCGGGACATGTATAGCGGGTATCCGACAGGTTATGATAGGCGACCTTGCGCCAGCCGCAGCAGCCGCCACACTCGCAGAGGGAGGGAGGGTCGGGTGGGGGGCAGGCCGGCTCCGTCGATGGTGGACACGTGTCTTGTGATGGTGGCGGGGAGGAAGTGTCTTCAAGCTGGGTGGGAATTTCTGGGCACCTGGTTTGTGGCTCGTCTGTGCATTTTCCAATGCCTTCAACGACGTCTGTGTTTAGGGTTAGCAATTGTGCCTTTGAGGCAGTTGATAGCTTCAAGTAGGTCTGGAGGTTGGGACAAAGAGATGAAACAAGCATGCCTGTATCTGCACGCACAAGTTTACACGTCAGCTGGACAACTTGTCTCAGCTTTGTGTACTTTAAACTTTCGTTTCGTGCAAAAAAAGTGCAAAAGTGGTTGGCAGGTGTGTTCTGATGCCATTTTACTTAACTCGTTTCAGAAAGCTGTTTGTCGCGTTTATGTGTGCATGCAGCGTTTATGAGGTATGAATTTTTAACTTGACTTAAAGGCACAAACAATGCTAGTCACATACCCATTGTCAAAGTACCTGATCCAATGTCTTGATTTCCTTCATTCTGCATGGAAGAGCACTGGATAAGACCAGCCACGAATACAGCCAGTAGCGAAAACTTCATCTTTCTCTCTCTCGTCTTCCTTCGGCTTAGCTTTCCCTTCTTCTCTCCTTCAAACCAGAAAGACCAACTGCGACTAGCTTCTGAGCTGCAGTTGCTTTATATAACCGCAGGTGCTCGTGACGTGTGCCTCTTGACTCTTTAGTAGTAGTCTTATCACTAGAGAGCATACTGAAAATGCGGGAGCGATTTGGGAGTTTTTTACTGATAGCTTTCCCATGTCTGCTCTGGTAGAAAATAGACCTGTTTGTCACAATTGTTAGACCGAGCTCTTATCGCCATCTTTCTGTTTATTTCTCTTTTTGTGCCACTAAACTGAAATCTTGTCTTCCTCTCTCTCTTTCTCTGTCCTGTATATTACTTCTATTTCCTTTTTCTTTTTCCTCTATTCCCCTTGTATGTTTCTTGTGCTAATAAGAAATACTCTATAACTGCTACAGACTAGTTAAGCTAGTATATGTGCATGCAGTAATGACAATCAGTACATTAGTTTTCTTTTTCTCTCTCCTCCTCCCCTCCCTTTCCTCCTCCCTCCCTTTCCTCTCCTCCCTCCCTTCCTCCTCCCTCCCTCCCTTCCTCCTCCCTCCTCCCTCTCCCTCCCTTCCTCCCTTCCTCCTCCCTCCTCCCTCCCTCCTCCCCAGGCGACACTAAAAGCCAAGATAGGCGGCAAAGAAGTACAGACTATGGTATCTACCACTGACCTTGCCATGACACAAGGCAGAGTGAGACAATCAACTCTATATACTTACAATTTCACTTCAACATCCTACCTTACCTTTACAAGCAATCCTTATGTTGTCAAGGTTCAAAACAAGCCTAGCTGTAATATAAAGTCCGTTTGCCGAATTACACCATGAAAAGTGATTGTGCTACTTGCAATTTTACTCACTGAAAGTATATAATTAAGCGGGATTCACTTTATAAATGCACTAGTAGATACTACTAGTAGATGTATATACCGAGTATGGTGTTACAGATGACTGTATGTGCATGTGTTAGATGTTGCACCAGTTGACAGCCAGAGCCATCATCAGGGACTGGACCGACGGCTGTCTGAGTCGTGACAAGATGGAGCACGAGGTGACCTACCTCTTCTTTCTTTACTTCCTCTCCCTTTCCTCCATCGTTCACCTTCTCTCCCTTCTCTCCCTTCTTTCTTTAATTCCTCTCCCTTTCCTCCATCGTTCACCTTCTCTCCCTTCTCTCCCTTCTTTCTTTACTTCCTCTCCCTTTCCTCCATCGTTCACCTTCTCTCCCTTCTCTCCCTTCTTCTTTACTCTCTCTCCCTTTCCTCCATTGTTCACCTTCTCTCTCTCCTTTTACCAAGGCTTTACTGTTTCCCTTTAGAACTGATATATTTGCATCAATGGACTCCATTTTGTTTGCCAATGTACATTTAGTTATCAGTGCATGCATTTGTATATTTTAACCTGCCTTTTCGTCACTAAAGGCTTTGGAGTACATGTTCACTATCATTTGAAAATAAATTTTCTGTGCATAATTCACTTCTCTTGTTGAAAACATCTCAGATTGTGAAGAAAGAGAGAAAATCGTTCATTATCAACATCTCTAAAGACTATTCCATCGTCTCTCAGTTTACCAGTTTCGTTGCCATCGAAGAGAGAGAAAGGGTGAGGTCGTTACGAGGTGGGGTTTCCCCCATTTGACCACCCTATGTTGCTATGGATACAGGATGAGGTGTTTGACCAAAGGAACGGCCCCGCTATCAGTGACCTGGTTGCCAAGGAGACGGTGGACAAGTTGGCGTACATGGGTTGGGATTTGGATGAGTCAGCAGATCCTGTCAAGGTGGGCATTAATTGTAGTATTGTCAATTGAAGTAAAAAAAAAGTCTGATGTCCGTCTCAATGCTACAGTTTTTCCTGGTTTGAACTTAGCATTTCTGCCCTGTTCAGGAGGCAGAGGAGGCGTTGGAAGAGTGCCAGATGTCAGGTGATCTGGAGAAGAGGAAGAGACTGCTGAGGGAGACCGAGACAGTCCTTGGTCCGACCCACCCTCTCCGATTCCAGGTGAGGCACCGGGAGAAACACGGTGTTATGAGGAGAGTTTTTCACATGTCTATAGCACATTCGCAAATTCTTTTAGAAAGTTTGTTTGTTGGTAACTAGATTTTTGGGAACATGTGTCTGTTTATGTCTAAGGAAAGGTATAAAAATGGATTTTACCCCAAAACTTGCTAGATACGTATAAACGCAATGGCAGGTGCACGCAAACAAACAAAACCAGAGAGAAACACCAATTTTTGAAGGCTCTGTACTTTGTAAGGCCGACTGTTGCTCTGCCTACTGCTACCATAATCCAAAGTTTACCACAAGCTTTATCACATGTTTGTAATTTTTCTCACTTCAACATCCATGTATATTTTACAGGTCTTCAAAAATTTGACGACTGAAATGCTCTCGAAAAACCAGCCCAAAGAAGCATATGAGGTTGCCATGGCAATGCAGTCCCAATTAGAGCTCACCTACACGTCAGATGCAGCACGCTACTTGGAAGATGTAAAGCAGTTTATAGCAACGTGAGTGCATTACACAATATATAAAGTATTACTTTAAACTATGTTTTTGAGGGAAAATTCAAAATTTGCAGACACAAATTTTTGTGTGAGTAAATCTATTCTCTTTTTCACCATTAAGGGTATGTACACAGCAGTATATTTATCAGGCTTGACCGTCTTTTAATTTTTAACTGTCTTTTTGACCATTATACAAGTATGACCATTAAGTGTACATATGTAGCAGTATACAACAGAGACTTGTTAATTTTGACTCTTGTTTTCCAACCATTCAGATATGTAGCTACGTAGCAGTAACCTTCAGGTTCATTTTTACTCTCTTTCTCTTCTTTTCGCCAGGACCATAGAGCCACAGGCCAAGCGAGACGACTACCTAAACCTAGCAAAGGAGGCGGAAGCAGCCAAAGACTATTCCGCTGCTCTGAACTACCTCAAACTAGCCGATCGTGGAAAGGTCACCGCGTCTTCCGTCACTCTCCCTCTTCTCTCTCGCTGTCTGAGAGGGCTATGTCGCGACCCCGCCCACGACTGGAAGAAGCTTTCTCGTGAGACCACGCCCGAGGATAGAGAGGGGCTGAGAAAGATGAGAATGGTGGCGGAGGAAATCGAGGACGTGTGTTCGGAGGTCTCGAGTCTAACCAAAAGTATGTCTTCCCGATCCACTGAGCTTGGCTTTCTCAAGATTGGTCGTGGACCCAATGAAGTTTCTTTTCTTCGGATGAAGATAAATATCGAATGTCTACGCTACCGCCACGAACTCAGCCCAGACGACGAGAAACTGAGGCAACGGGTGGACGCTCTGCAAAAGTCGGCGCTGAGGTATGCACAGGGTCACCTCCCCAATCACCCCGCGAGGCTAGAAATTATCCTCGATCGGTGCCGATTTCTGAGAGAGACGGAACCGCAGGAAGCGCTTCGACTGGCAAAGACGACGTTCGACGAGGCAGTCTCGAGTCTCGATTCGCTCGCGGAGGACTCGTACAGAGAGACGACTCTGGCCCTGCAGGAGTTGAGGGACCACGTGACGGTGTGGGGGGAGGAGGAGAGGGAGAAGGAGAGGGTGAGGGAGGAGGCCAGGAGGAGAGAGGAAGAGAAGGCGAGGGAAAGGGAAAGGAAGGAGGAAGAAAAGAGACAAAGACAAGCGGAAACGAAACGGTAAAATCAAGATAATTTTAAGACAACAAACATATGAGGCTTAAGTGGACATCAGCGGAGGCTTGTGCTATAGTTTTTTGAAGACGTTACCTGTAAGTTATGAGGGTAACAAGGCTTTTAATGTCGGATTGGCTGCCTAGTTAATCGTCTGAATTTTCAGTGTTTTATTTGTCAGTGGATAATAATAATTCTGGTGTTATGTGTGACATTCAGAGCTGAGGTGCCACGCCCACCACCGCCTCCCCCGGTATCCCAATTAGAACCCGTCGTCCTGGGAGACGAGGACTTATATGTGAAGAAAGCTCTCGTAATTGACACGGGAATGGCCACCGTCAAGGTTTGTATGTACTAACAACCTCATTCATTAGACCGTGGCCATTGCCTCTGGCTCTCAGGTTATACTGCCCATTTTAAGTGGCTGCAGAAGACGCACGGTGGAAAACTTCCCCAAAATGAGGACACATCTCTTATACCTTTAAAGGACACCTTTTCTTTCCCCAAGAACAGTTCTCGCATGCAATTTAACCCCTTAAGCAAGGAGCCTCTAATATTCCCTTATTCGTAAGGGTCACTGTACTATTGATGGTGCAACTCTTGCAGGCTGGATATGCAGGAGATGATGTTCCAAGAGCAGTGTTTGCCAGTCTTGTTGGAAGACCTCGCCACCAGGTACATACATACGTATACCTCTCTCTCTGTTCCTAGCGTGTGAATGAGTTTTAGCGTGGCCTATACTTTTAGCAGGGAAAAGACTGGCCAAGCAATACCTAGACTATAGCTTTTCGTACTTTTAGCAAGCAAGTGGGGTGAAGGACAGGCCAACAAACCATTCTGAATATCTTGACTTTAGCTGGAGTGTGCTGTGGAAATAGGGTGGCCTAAACTGTTCGTACTTTTAGCAAGCAAGTGGGGTGAAGGACAGGCCAACAAACAATTCTGAATACCTTGACTATAGCTGGAGTGTGCTGTGGAAATAGGGTGGCCTAACCTTTCGTTAGCAAGTGGGGTGAAGGACACCCAAGAAACCATTCTGAATACCTTGACTATAGCTGGAGTGTGCTGTGGAAATAGGGTGGCCTAACCTTTCGTACTTCTAGCAAGTGGGGTGAAGGACACCCAAGAAACCATTCTGAATACCTTGACTATAGCTGGAGTGTGCTGTGGAAATAGGGTGGCCTAAACTGTTCGTACTTTTAGCAAGCCAGTGGGGTGAAGGACAGCCCAACAAACCATTCTGAATACCTTGTCTATAGCTGGAGTGTGCTGTGGAAGTAATATGGTGGCCTAAACCTTTTGTACTCTTAGCAAACAAGTGGGGTGAAGGACACCCAAGAAACCATTCTGAATACCTTGACTATAGCTGGAGTGTGCTGTGCTAATAATTCTCCTTCTCCTTCCCCTTCCTCCCTCCACCAGGGAGTGATGGTAGGCATGGGTCAGAAGGACAGCTACGTGGGAGATGAAGCACAGAGCAAACGAGGCATCCTCACAATGTCCAGTCCATTCCAGAGAACGTCTCGGGCTCGGGCTCCGACTGGGGGTCCGCCTCGAGCTCGGGCTTGGGATGGGGGTCTGAGGCGGTCTCGGGCTCTGGCTACAGGGGCTCTGAGTGGTCTTCCGAGTCGGGTTCCGAGTTTTTCTGCGTCTGAGAGCGCTCCGCAAGTGTCGGCAAAAGAAGGGTTTCGTCATGAACTTGAGATGCAGGAAGAAATCTCGAGGCCTATGAGAGAGCTGGAAAAGGCCAAAGAAAAGTTGACAGGTGACATGCAGTACTATGTGCTTTGCCAACAGATCTCAAGTCTGTGTGTCAGTAATGTATTATTACCAGTCAGGCTTAATGTGCACACACCAGTAACACCATGCATGCTTGCGAAAGTTTTTATCTATAAACAAGTGTAATGTTATAAGGACGCTTGCTTTGGCCAAATTGTAGTACATACGTACGTAAGTAATGTCTTCTCTTCCCCCAGCTAGGTCAGATTACTACCTTAGGCATGTGGTAAGGGATTTTATTCCAAAAATATAAGATGCCTTGTGATAAAATCCGTGGGAGCAAACTTCCAAAATTTGGGTAAATGACCAAAATCTTGTGTTTATACATACAGTATATACCAGCATACTGCAGTGTGTTGATGCAGTATTATTTCTACATACAGCGATAAGGAAATCAAGGTCACAACGAGAGGCCAAAGCAGATGCCGATGTGGAGAAAGATGGAAAATTCGTTGGTATGACGTACTATATAATTACATTACGCTACATTATGTACGCATTAGAGAGTAATAATATTTTGCTATCTTGGGGCAGTGTTAAGTGAAGTTCAGTGCTAAATATGTTGCAAGGCTAGCAACATGATGCATGCGGCAGGCCACGCAAGCCATTTCTATCCTCCCTCTACATGGTGGTGCATGATGCATGCGGCAGGCCACGCAAGCCATTTCTATCCTCCCTCTACATGGTGGTGGGACATGGTGCGGTGCGGCAGGCCACGCAAGCCATTTCTATCCTCCCTCTACATTGTGGTGTGGCACGGTGCATGCGGCAGGCCACGCAAGCCATTTCTATCCTCCCTCTACATGGTGGTGCATGGTGCATGCGGCAGGCCACGCAAGCCATTTCTATCCTTCCTCTACATGGTGGTGTGGCACGGTGCATGCGGCAGGCCACGCAAGCCATTTCTATCCTCCCTCTACATGGTGGTGCATGATGCATGCGGCAGGGCACGCAAGCCATTTCTATCCTCCCTCTACATGGTGGTGCATGATGCATGCGGCAGGCCACGCAAGCCATTTCTCTCCTCCCTCTACATGGTGGTGCACGGTGCATGCGGCAGGCCACGCAAGCCATTTCTATCCTCCCTCTACATGGTGGTGCATGGTGCATGCGGCAGGCCACGCAAGCCATTTCTATCCTCCCTCTACATGGTGGTGCACGGTGCATGCGGCAGGCCACGCAAGCCATTTCTCTCCTCCCTCTACATGGTGGTGCACGGTGCATGCGGCAGGCCACGCAAGCCATTTCTATCCTCCCTCTACATGGTGGTGCATGGTGCATGCGGCAGGCCACGCAAGCCATTTCTATCCTCCCTCTACATGGTGGTGTGGCACGGTGCATGCGGCAGGCCACGCAAGCCATTTCTATCCTCCCTCTACATGGTGGTGCATGATGCATGCGGCAGGCCACGCAAGCCATTTCTATCCTCCCTCTACATGGTGGTGCATGATGCATGCGGCAGGCCACGCAAGCCATTTCTATCCTCCCTCTACATGGTGTTGTGGCACGGTGCATGCAGGCAGCAGCCATTTATCTCCCTCTACAGGTGGTGGCCGTGCATGGGCAGCACGCAAGCCATTTCTATCCTCCCTCTACATGGTGGTGTGGCACGGTGCATGCGGCAGGCCACGCAAGCCATTTCTATCCTCCCTCTACATGGTGGTGCATGATGCATGCGGCAGGCCACGCAAGCCATTTCTCTCCTCCCTCTACATGGTGGTGCATGGTGCATGCGGCAGGCCACGCAAGCCATTTCTATCCTCCCTCTACATGGTGGTGCACGGTGCATGCGGCAGGCCACGCAAGCCATTTCTATCCTCCCTCTACATGGTGGTGCACGGTGCATGCGGCAGGCCACGCAAGCCATTTCTATCCTCCCTCTACATGGTGGTGCACGGTGCATGCGGCAGGCCACGCAAGCCATTTCTATCCTCCCTCTACATGGTGGTGCACGGTGCATGCGGCAGGCCACGCAAGCCATTTCTATCCTCCCTCTACATGGTGGTGTGGCACGGTACATGCGGCAGGCCACGCAAGCCATTTCTATCCTCCCTCTACATGGTGGTGTGGCACGGTGCATGCGGCAGGCCACGCAAGCCATTTCTATCCTCCCTCTACATGGTGGTGCATGATGCATGCGGCAGGCCACGCAAGCCATTTCTATCCTCCCTCTACATGGTGGTGTGGCATGGTGCATGCGGCAGGCCACGCAAGCCATTTCTATCCTCCCTCTACATGGTGGTGCATGGTGCATGCGGCAGGCCACGCAAGCCATTTCTATCCTCCCTCTTCATGGTGGTGCATGGTGCATGCGGCAGGCCACGCAAGCCATTTCTATCCTCCCTCTACATGGTGGTGCATGGTGCATGCGGCAGGCCACGCAAGCCATTTCTATCCTCCCTCTACATGGTGGTGTGGCATGGTGCATGCGGCAGGCCACGCAAGCCATTTCTATCCTCCCTCTACATGGTGGTGCATGGTGCATGCGGCAGGCCACGCAAGCCATTTCTATCCTCCCTCTACATGGTGGTGCATGGTGCATGCGGCAGGCCACGCAAGCCATTTCTATCCTCCCTCTACATGGTGGTGCATGGTGCATGCGGCAGGCCACGCAAGGATGCAAGCCATTTCTATCCTCCCTCGGCATGGTGGTGCATGGTGCAGTGCGGCACGGTGCACATTAGTGCAATATGTTGAACCCAGCTTTCAACACTGATCATATGGCATGACTTGTCATTTTACATGTTTCTTTCAAATCCCAAACTTGATTATTTGTATCTCAACAGAATCGCGACAGAGTCGCACCCCCCGAATATATGATTTTAGCTGTGCTATGGGGAAACCTTCTCCACTGCCTCCCACCAAAGCTGTTCCACCAAGTGCGCCCACCCGACTATCCTCAGAGCTCCGTTCTATTGAAAAACCTCTTCCACCTCCTCCCCCTGAAGAAGAAGAAGAAGAGTTGTATGACTTAGCGCTCCCTTCTTCCCCTACACCAGCCAGAAACGAGGGGTATCTACTCTCATCCTTGTCTGATGTGACGGCTACAGCAGAACCTGCAACCAACAGTGGGTATATACGGTCTAAAGTGAGGGCTATACGGTTGCATGGTCGACCACGTGGCGTAGTGAGAGCAGCTGGGAAAGTTCACTCCCGATCTGGTATACCTACCGATGTGCCGGTCGGAGCCAGTCTCAACCTCTCTACAATAGAAATTGATGCGAAGAGCCTAACTTCTCCAGAGGTGGATAAATTAGTAGCAGAGGACGATCTTTTCGGAGACACCGAAATGTATTCTGCAATCTCAGCATCAGACGCTGCTGCCCCATTGCCACCTCCGGGAAGGAGGGCATTCCGTTCTCCAGTTCGAGGTCCTCCACCTGGACCCAGTGTCGTTTCTATGAGTCTCAGGATGCCATCTCTGACAAGGAGGAGATCCCCTCAAGTTCGATGTCCTCCACCTGGACCCAGTGTCGATTCTATGAGTTTCAGGATGCCACCTACTGCAGCAGCTGGTGGTCCCCCACCCCCACCCCCTGATCTCATTTGTTATGATGCCCCACGCCCACTTTATTCCGCTGCATTTGGTTATGGTGGCATACCCCCACCCCCTCCAACACGTGGTGGTCCCCCACCCCCACCCCCTCCAACATTCGGTGGACCCCCACCCCCTAGAGCACCGATGCCTGCGTCTGCACCTCCACCCCCTCCACTGCCCGGTGGTGCACCGCCCCAACCCCCTGAGGCACCAAAAATTGCACCTGGTGGTCCCCCACCCCCGGCCCCACCTCGTCAGTTGTTTCGAGGCATCATGCGTGCACGAGGCAAATGTTCTTCTCTCAAGAAAATAGAAACTTCCGATGATGAAGAGCCCCGACTATCAAGCATGCCTTTCGTTAGGGGGCCAAGGCGACAGCCTGTCAGCGACAAGACTACAGGACGCTCTTCTTTTCTCGCCAAGGCGTTGAAGGAAAAAGTTGCTGCAGCCCCCTCTCCCCCTCTCCCTCCTCCTCCTCCTTCTTCCTCTGCTACATTGGCAAGCAAGAAGTTTGCTCCTCCTGTTGCTCCACGTTGTTTTGGTACCAGAAACTTGCCAGAACCTCAGCCAGCACCGGGAGGAGGAGGTGGAGGAAGGGGCGGTTTGCTGTCCTCTATCAAGTCTGGAGTGAAACTGCAGGCAAGCAAGTGGTAGTGTAAACTCCTTTAAAGGAAATGAGTCAGTACATAAGGGATAGATTTTAAACTGTTACTAAACATAGAACTGAACAAGAATGCAATTGAGATTCCATTTTCAGTAATTTTTACCTTACATACTAGCTACCACATTCCCTTTAAACATGTACAATGAGTTACACACCCTCTCCTATATTATGTTTACGGAATATTGTGCTTAAAAATTGGATGATGGAGGAAAGTGTTTAAAATCTTCATGTCATTTTTCCTTGGCTCCCCAAACAGAAAGCATTGGCTGCACCGAAACCATCACCACCACCAGCTGAAGATATTTCTGACGTCCTTCTTTCCCGGAGATCAGCAGGTTTGCATTTCATGTCCTTCCCTCTTTCATAGTGTCACTTTCTCACTGTATGTTGGCCGTTTACCACTGTTAGTGTTCACGTATTAATTGACAAGCAGTGCGAGCCTACATATTATACCTATTGCTTGAATTGCACAACTTATATACTATGTGGACAAGGCACTGTTCATACCGTAATGCCTTACTCTAATTACACGTAAAAACTGCTGAAATTTCGAACTCGCGTTTGCTCACCAATTATACTAACTTTAGGGAAGCGAACGGAAGTAAGACTGATAGAGTGCGACCTGTTAACTGCTCCGTGAGATGTTCACGTTGTCAGTGGAGATATTGGGTGCACATAATTCAGCCGACTATAGAGTGTGTCTCGCTTCACTAGTCAATTACTAGTTTCGTGTCTCGCTTCACTAGTCAATTACTAGTTTAGTGTCTCGCTTCACTAGTCAATTACTAGTTTAGTGTCTCGCTTCACTCGTCAATTACTAGTTTCGTGTCTCGCTTCACTCGTCAATTACTAGTTTAGTGTCTCGCTTCACTAGTCAATTACTAGTTTAGTGTCTGGCAACCAACATGTATGTACATACATGTGTAAACTACGAGGTAGAAAGGCAGAGGCACAACAAACAAATCAACTACACCCAGGACAGCTCTTTTTTATAAGAGCTGTCCTAGGTGGGATTCGAATCCACGACAAGCAAAATGTCATGTATGTACATGTGTCCATTATCTCAGCATTGATGACGGTGGTTTCAGCCGAGGATGGTGATTGGTCAGATGATGACAGCATTGGAGGAGGCAGTGGACCAATATATGCAGAGTGTACGTTTCTAATGTAAATAGACATGTACTAGTAGCGTTTATGTGTCACTTCACTACAACGAAAATGTGCCATTTTCTCGAAGTGCATAAATAAAGATGACTCACACAACTGTGATCACCCGAATAATGCATCACTGTGAATTCGGGGCGAAATTTTTATAAGTGTGTAAGATTCCATTTTCAGTTCAGTCTTTTTTTAAACACAATTGGATAATCTTTATCGTTGTGTAGTCTAAGTTATACTCACACATAATAATTTTATTGTATGCATTCGTAACTAGCAATATCCGTATTGCTGAGCGACGCAAGCGCATATTCCTACTTGTTTCAATCCGGGATTTTTCTGCGTATATGTGAGAGGCATTGTCACTACACGTACGTAGAGTAGTGTTTTGCTTGATTCCAAATACACACGTGCAGGAAGTTGAAAATTATAGTTCGCTGGCGAAAAATGTGTTGCTATGTTCCCTTCTGTGTCACAGTCTCTTCGGCAAGGTCACTAATGGATGAAATGGGAGTGGTGGCAGAGACGAGGTCCATAACTGCATCACTGGAGGGAGTGAGTGAAGTAGAAATGGTGATGGTGAATCTGCATGATAGTGAGGAAAATGAGAACGAATTGGCGAATGGATTTGAGGAGGCAGAGGCGGAGGAGGAGGAGGAGGAGGAGGGAGATACTTGGTTCTCAGGTGAGTATACATATAAGTTAGATGCAGAGTCCAGGATAAAAACGCATTAGAGAGCCGCGGGGGCCCTGACTTGATAATCACCCTTCTTTTTCTTACTGTTTTCTTCTCTTCTTCTCCCTCCCCTTTTTCTCAGCACCTTCATCAAATGGGAACCGTCTGCAGAATCTACAACAAGAAGTTGAACAGGCCAAGTCAACCCTCCAGGACAACATCTACAAAGTCGTAACTCGCGGAGAAAAACTAGATGATCTTGAAGAGAAAGCAGAAGCACTTCAGGTGCAGGCCTTTGCGTTTCAGAAGGCAGTGCGGAAGATTCGTCCAGATGATATTATCGCAGAAGAGGCCATGTCGAGTGACGACGAGTACCTTGGATCTAAGTTTTCGGAGGAAGATCAGTTGGCTATCTTGCCCCCATCACTGGACGTGAGTGTGTTTATCAGTGTAAATGGGCACCTGTAGAATGTTAAACTGGTGCTAATGGGACATTCTATAAAAGAAACTTTGTGGTCCCACTTCATTCAGGCACTTCCCACTACATTGGTAATCATTTGCGGTCTATTTGGCAGTTTAGTTGGTGGTACTTTAAGGGGGTTCCTGTCCACATTTTTATTTATGCAAAAAAAAGTTGTCAGGTATATATACCCCTTAGCCTGTGAATGTCGGTAAATGCAAAGTTTTAGTGCCCAGCAGTTACATGCTACGTATGTGGGATTACCTCCAAAAATAAGTTTACCGACATTTTATTCTGCCAGTTTGAGACTAATGTACCAGTTCTGGTATTTTACACAGGAGGGGAGGAGGAGGAAGGAAGAGAGGTACCCGGAAGTGAGGGTCACCCAGCTGGAGGGCCTGTTCCAGAACCAACATGACACGGGGTACTGGGAACTGGACTGTCTCGACCTGCTGCAGCTGGACTCTGAGAGGGTCAGGAACCTTCTGGAACAGTCCGGATACAAATCTCTCGGTAAGGCACACGCGCCTTATACTTTGTTTGGAGCCATGGTTTTTTTCACGGCTAGTTTTGGTTGAGTGTGCCACTCTTGCCAACTGAGTTCATATGCAAAGTTGTTTTTGCAAAGTTTGTTTTTTAGCAATTCTTTAACATGTTGTTGTGATCCTCTTTGTTTAGTATTTCTCTTTTATTGTATAGTTTTTTCTACAGTGGTAATACAAGAACCTCTCTCCCCTTCCCAGGTCAGTCAGTGTGCACAGACCTGCTGAGGCTTATTGCCACACTAGTCATTCTCAAAATCCTCAGTAAAGTACTGGAACACTTGTTCCCACTCTCATTCTCTCCAAGGTAAGTTACACATCTGGTATCTGTTAAAGGAACAGCAAGTTGGTAGCAACGCTTCTTGAGAATAATTCTTGTATAATATTAATTCTTAGCATGTTATGTAATGCTTATTCTGCGAAACCAACAAGAATTGAATTTAACTGACCAACTAATGCTCCTTGTACTTCACACGCACTATAGGAACCATTTTGATGAAGTTGGTCAACCTATTGTCCCAAATGCACGATATCTCCTCCCTGTATCTGACATGTGATGCTGCTCAATGCACACCCACAGACATTGGTATTATTGACTTGCTTGCATTCACAGGTCAAACCATTCATTACATTCTAATAATGCTTAAGCATTTTCACATCACAGCCATCCCATTTTTTATACTATCCTACCTTATTCATTTCCCCCTCTACTGTGCCCTCTTACAGACTGGCCATATGTGGCAGAGTTGACTCAGAGTTTGCAGGAGGAGTGGAGAAGGCAGTGGCCTATTTCAACCAAACTGAGTCCCGCCACCCCAGTCTGTGTGCCAGACTGGAGCTGGGCTATAGCTGGGAGGAGGCGGCCAGGAACATCATCTCACAATGTCTGTGAACTGACATTTTTATCAGTAGCATAGAGCAAACAGGGACTGAATTTTTAAGCAACACTTTGCATGTGATGTTGTTCGTACGTAGATTTTTTGCTTGCTGCATTTTTACACTGTACGGCCCCAACGGCACACGATTGTGCGCATGCGCCAACAATTATTTTGCTGGCGGGGGAGGTTCCCTTGGGTGTTGCGCTCGAGCCCTGACGTTTTTGCTACAAGACGCCGTAGGAGAGAGAGATCAGGGTCGAGCTGAGAGGCACGGGACTCGCAAGTGTGTAAGGTAAGGGCTGGTATTCACGGCGGTCGGTTCTGTCAGAACCTTTTGCAATTGGCGAGAGCCTGTCACCAGTAAACCAAAACTTTCCGGGCTTGTTTGGTCTGACAGACCAACAGAACAAGCGCAGAGTAATTTTTGATTTATCTAATATATTATACAGCCTTTGAAAGTCGGCCATGGAAGCAGAGAAACAAAAAGGTGATGAGGCGTATCTCAAGGTTGGAGAGATCATCACTGATGATGTCACAGGTATTGTCATGCATGACAGAGAGATAATTATGCGTTACGATCACCTCATGAATTGCAGGAAGATGTTTGCTGTGTATGTTCTGTTTGTCTGAGTTGGTCTGTCCCATTATTTACACTCCCCCTATATCTCCCAACTTATGTGAGTGGCTAAAAGAAAGTAAAGGTGTAAATATTATACTGCATGTTTCAGTGGCAGCAAGGAGCTGGCAGGTGGACCCCACAACCCTTGCCACACCCTCAGAGCAAGCTCCCAGTGAATTGACTGTGGTTACCGAGGAAGCAGGTATCTCTCTCTGTGTCCCCCTCCCTCTCACTCTCTCACATTGTCTCTCTCGTGCCTGGACTCAGGTGAAGTGGACAAGGTCAGAAGAGCCAAGGTGTTGTACAGATTTGAGGCAGAGGACCCAGGTGATCTAACACTGGAACCGGGACAGGTGAGAGCAGTAGTTCATTTCCTAATACTCTCCTTACATGTGCCATCAACCGTAATCTTGTATACTTCGACCGCACTTTGCCTGTTAGCATACAGTGGAGGCATCTGATGTTACAACAGAGGGCGAATAAGTCCTGCTATCCCTAAAATGCTACACTATCTACTAGTCCAGCTAGCCCATGTCAGACTCTCAGAAAGCTAGAGAGACCCCACAGCCCAGATCATCGATTAACACCTCAGACCCAAACTAGATGGCTGGGTTAACTATTATGCTTTCTCTCTCTGCAGATAGTTGATGTGTTGTGGGATAAAGATGACAGCAGGTGGAGAGGCCGAATTGGAGAAACTGAAGGCTTTATCCCTGCCAGCTATGTGGAAGTCCTCAACGATGAAACTGCATCTTCTAACTCCACTGACCAACCAGCCATTCAGCCTAAGGATCCTTCAAGAGCAGGCGACTTTAGTGCTGGTAAGATTTGCAGAAACTCATGCTTCTGCATAAGGAACTTTGTGGTTTTTTTTTCCTGAGTGGTCCCTCTCTTGGGAGGCCCCTCCTATCATTACAGACCAGAAGCCTTTTGCATGGCTGCACTTCCCATACAAACTTACATACTTCAGCCAGAGACCACCTCAAGAACACAACCACTGACTGTCAACCTGCGCGCACATCGCACAGGGCGGAAGAGGGTCTGGTGATATTTGCGTGGTTTCGTGACGACCGGATAGTGCATTTTTCAAGCCACACACACTGAGTTTGGTAGCTAAGGTATATACCCCAAAGATGCCCTCCAAGAGTCCATTAAGAACTTGACATTTATTGATCATCGATACTGTTTATACAAAGGTCTCTGGTGTTGGAGTGGTTCTTGTGATAGTCTGCTTGTTTCTAATTCTTGGTAATGGCAGTGAAGTGGACAGGCCGGGATGGGCACCAGGCCATGTCATCTATCTTCCTTCTCTCAGCACAGCTTACTCTACATACTTCAGTGAACATAGGAATGTACGGAATGTGCCTTTCATCATGTACTATGAAAGCTCGTCCCACCCTACTACCCCTCTGCTGCATGTGGGTGTCAACAAATATGTTTGCATTGCTAGTGCACCAGGGATTTACGCTTCAGCGCTTGTCATTTGGTATGGATTTACACCCTGTCATTCATGGATTCAGATGTGTGCGTAAGTAAGTATTCTAGAATGGTCACATACCACCTACATACAAGGGTTTGCCCTTTCATTAGAAAAAGGCTATTAATCTGGCGTGTGCACATGCATGCAAAGCCATTTGTACCGCTTTGTGGCATGCATATTGTGTGTGGAAGCATTTTTAGCATATCCTCTTTTTTTCTTCCCCCCCCCCTCTATATTCCCCTTAAAACAAATAGGGGTACCTGCCTATGCTATAACAAGCATGGGCAACAACATTGGATCCTGCCTCATACAATTCACTGATACAGCACTCACGGTCAAGTTCTTACACACCAATGTCACTTTCTCCTGGCCGTACAATATCATCCGCAAGTTTAAAGTATATAATTACTTTTCCTTTGTCTCTGGTCGCCGAGGGCCGTACGGAGTTGCAGAGTACAATTTTGTCATGACAGAGAAGGCACTGGTATTAGTAAAACACACCCTCACTCAGATTACTTCTACTGACTTTCCAAATGATGAGGTTTCTAGTGAAGGAACTACGGTAGGTGAGCAAGACTTTATAGAATTGCTTAAAGATGAGTCAAGAGTATTCTTTGAAGAAGCCATGAAGCAGGGCTATGTGAATGTTACACTAGTGAAAGTGATTGTGGAGGGACCTGCAGGTGTCGGCAAAACCTCAGTCGTTTACCTTCTCCTTGGTAAACCGCCTCCAAAAGATAGACACAGTACTGGCTGCGCTGAGCGAGCAATTCGAGTGATACGCTTGGGTAAGGAGGGAGAAGAGTGGAATGAAATCACCACAGAAGAATTTGAGAAGATGATTTCAGAAGCAGTTCCTGTTCACCTTAAAGCAAAGGAAGAAGGAATGAAGAAGTTATTGGAGGCATTGGAAAAACATTTTGAGGAAAGCGAGGAGGAAGATGAGGAATTGAATGGAGATACTTGTGAAGAAAACAAGGAAGAGGAAAGTAGTGCCCACGATACTGACGCAGTCATTGATGAAGTAATCAAGAAGCTAACTCGACTGGTGGGTGGTGGGAAATCGTCACATCGTCTCCAGGACATGGAGTTGATCTACCTAACCGACACAGGTGGCCAGCAACCGTTTTGGGACCTCATCCCGATATTCGCATCCGACACGTCAGCCACCCTCTTTGTCCACCGGGTCTGCGAAAAGCTTGACGAACACCCCCTCAACGACCTCTACCAGACAGGTAAGCGGGTTGGTCCTAGCCAGCGAGCCACACTCACTACTGCCGAGGCCTTTAAAGCAATGCTTCGAGGCCTGCACGAAGGGGAAGGAAAGTCCTCCAAGATGATTGCCGTCGGAACGCACCGGGATTTAGCAGATGATTGCGAAGAGACACTGGAAGAAAAGAACAAGAAGTTTGCTGCAATAGCGTCGCCTCACTTTGAGAAAGATGTCGTTTTCAGAAATGATGCCATGCAGGAGATAATTTTCCCAGTCAATGCGAAAACTCCAGACGACGAGAAAGAGGCGCGTAAAATCAGAGCCAGCATTGAACAGGGAGCCACACAACACAAGATTCCGATATGGTGGTTCATCCTCCAGATGATCCTGGAAGCACTAGCTCACAAGCTCGGAAGAGATGTTCTAAGCAAAGACGAATGCGTCCGCATTTCAGACACGCTGGGGTTCGTGGAGGGAGAACTGGATGCTGCACTCGCCTTCTTTGACAAGCTCAACATTTTCCTCTACAAGAAGAGCATTCTTCCCAGAGTTGTGTTCACCAATCCGCAAGTCCCCATGGGCAACCTCTCAAGGCTCGTGAAGAAGCAGTACCACCTGAAAGCTGCAGAGGCCGATCCAACAAAAGCTACATGTGTGGCAATAAGCGGTCAGTGGAAAAACTTCCGCGACTGTGGAATCCTCACTCCCGAATGTCTCAATGAATTCAAGGCTGACTATGTAGATGGGATCTTTAATCCTACGGATTTTCTGACATTGCTCGAAAACCTCCTTGTCATCTCCCAATTGTCCGCGAATGAGTACTTCTTTCCGGCAATTCTCAGCATGACCACTGAAACCAAGATTAACGCGTGCCTCATGTCATCCAGAACAACCAAGATAGCTCCTCTGGTGGTGGAGTTCCCCACCGGCTGGGCTCCTCCCGGTGTCTACTGCTGCAGTGTGTGCCACCTTCAGTCCCACTCTGGCTGGAAAGTGGTGAAGAAACCGCCCATCAAGCCACGCAGCAGGAGTTCAAATGCACCCCCCGCACAGCACCACTCAATTTCTCGCAACTGTATTGAATTCACCAAAGTTGGCAGGCCTGGTTCAGTGACACTCGTCGATAACTTTTCTTCGTTTGCGGTGTGTGTTAACATAGACACCAGCAAGATGGAGCGAGAGGATTTAGCTCAGCATTGCCAGGCCATCAAGACCGAGATCTTTGCCGCAGTCGATGCAGCCCTGGAGAACACCCACCACAAAGACACCCACCCAACCTCTGCTTTCCTCTGTCCCAGACAGGAGGACGCCTCTTGCAGCACTAAACTGCACGTTGCACACCTCTCCAGTAATGGGAAGCAGTGGATATGCTCTGCCAACAGTGGAGTATTCGACTATCTCACTCCTGACCAGACATTGTGGCTCAGTGGAACAGGTGCGTTATTAGCATGATGATGGATTCGTCATAATAATATTATTCTTTGCTTTTCTCATAGAACCTGTTGTTCATTCAAAGACTTCACATCCTAAACTCAGTGATCTGGCAAATCGCGTCGCAGCTATCATTCCCCACAAGTGGAAGGAAGTTGCTATTCAACTGGATCTCAGCAAAGGTGAGAGGAAGGCCATAGAGAGTGACGAAGACAAATCCTTTGATCGATTTGTTGCCGTTCTCGAACAATGGAGGCAATCAGCCATTGTGCCCTACACTTGGAAGACAATTGTCAATGTCTTAAAGTCAGCATCTGTTGATGAGACAAGGTTGGCAGAGGAACTGGAGAAAAACTTTTGCTAGATCCGTTTTTGCACTACAGAAACTACCAATTTTGCACATGCGTGCAAAGTTAACCCGCGAGGGACGCGGATCCCTCGCGAGTAGTTTGCGCAGCATCACACAACAACAAAGACAGAGAATGCAGCAGCTCATATCCCGGTTGCTCTCGCCGCCTGGACGACGTTTCCTGTACAGCAATGGGAGGGAGAGGGAGCCGGAGCCGTCAGAATCCGACCACCCTCTCGTGGGGGAGCAGATTTCCTTCACTCGAGCCCCGAGCATTACACCGCGGGAAGATGGCCGGTGCCTGGCCGTCTTTACGAGCGGTGGGGACGCCCAGGGAATGAACTCGGCGCTCAGAGCGGTCGTGAGGATGGCCATCTTCAGCGGAGTCCGCGTCTTTGCCGTGCGAGAAGGCTACAAGGGGTTGGTGGAGGGAGGGAAGCACATCGAGGAGTTCCGGTGGGCGTCCGTCTCGAACATTCTTCACAAGGGCGGCACAGTCGTCGGCACGGCTCGCTGTAAGGAGTTCAGAGAGCGGGAAGGTCGCCTCAAAGCCGCGGAGAACCTAGTGCAGCGCGGGATCAACAACCTAGTAGTGATTGGCGGAGACGGAAGCCTTACAGGCGCCAATCTCTTCAAGAAGGAGTGGGAGGGTCTGCTGGCTGAGCTGGAGGAGGCCGGACGCCTCACCAGAAGCCAAGTCGAAAAGTGCAAGTACTTGAACATCGTGGGGCTAGTGGGGTCCATCGACAACGACATGTGTGGGACGGACATGACTATCGGCACCGATTCAGCTCTCCACCGCATCATCGAGGCCGTTGACTGCCTAACTAGCACTGCCGCCAGCCACCAGAGGAGCTTTGTACTGGAGGTAATGGGCCGTCACTGTGGGTACCTCGCACTGATGGCTGGGATTGCTGGCTGTGCGGACGCCGTGTTCATCCCCGAACGCCCTCCTAACCCAGGATGGGAGGACAGCATGTGCTACCAGATCGCCCAATGCCGAGATGCAGGGCGAAGACACAGTCTCGTTATCGTCTCCGAAGGGGCAGTGGATTCAGAAAACAGGCCGATAACTTCGGAGCAGATCCGGGACATCCTGCAGGCAAAGTTGGGCCACGACACGAGGATAACTGTCCTCGGCCACGTTCAGAGAGGGGGGAAGCCGTCGGCGTACGATCGCATCATCAGCGCGCGAATGGGTGCAGCTGCAGTCATCACCCTCCTGAACGCGGAAGGAGAGATCCCTCCAAAGATGATCGGTGTTCAGGGCAACGTGATCATGCAGCTCCCGCTCATGGACTGCGTGACGAAGACGCGGGCCATAGATACTGCGATGAAGACGTGCGAGTTCAAGCAGGCCCTCGAGCTGCGCGGAAGGTCATTCAAACGAAACATGGAACTCTTGCGACGCCTCGAATCCTGTCGAAACCCCGAGTGCGGAAGCGAAGAAGACATTCTCTCCCCAACGCCCGTCCGCAGATTCAAATTTGCAATCATGAACGTCGGTGCGCCGGCAGCAGGGATGAACAGCTGCAACCGAGCCTGCATCCGTCTCCTGCTGTACAAGGGACACACGGTGCTGGGGGTGGGCAACGGGTTCTCGGGTCTTTTGGACGATGACATCACCGAAATGTCGTGGGATTCGGTGACGAATTGGGCCGCCGAGGGCGGGTCTAACCTGGGAACAAACAGGATTAAGCCTACTGCCCACACGCTGCCAGAGATTGCTGCGAAATTTGGGGAGCACCATATCGAGGGGCTTCTGATCGTTGGAGGCTTCGAGGCGTATCACAGTCTCATAATCCTGGAGGAGAACAGAAAACTCTACACGGCTTTCCGCATTCCTCTCCTCGGGGTGGCAGCCACCATCAGCAACAACGTCCCCGGTACGGAATACAGTCTCGGTTGCGACACTGCCCTCAACACAATCGTCAGTTCTTGCGACATCCTCCGTCAATCGGCACAGGGCAACCGCAAACGTGTTTTCGTCGTCGAGACGATGGGCGGTTACTGTGGCTACCTCGCAACCATGGCAGCTCTCGCAGGAGGCGCCGACGCAGCGTACATCTTCGAAGAGAAGTTTACCATCTCAGACATCCAGAGGGACGCCGATTACCTCGTCGGGAAATTCAAAGACGGCCTCGAACGTGGTCTACTCTTGCGAAACGAAAAGTGCAACGAGAATTTCACCACAACATTTATCACTGAGCTCCTATCGGAACAGGGTAAAGGTGTTTTCATCTGCCGCGACAGCCTTCTCGGGCACCTACAGCAGGGAGATGCACCAACTCCCTACGATCGTATCCTCGGAGTCCAGTACGCTGCCCACACCGTCGATTTCCTGCAGAAACACGCTCAGGAGAATCTGAATTCGCGGGATAAAGTCCGTGCCGAGAATGCCGAATCGGCCTGCATGATCGGGCTCCAGGGAACGAAATTCCAGGCAATTCCGCTGCAGAAACTGGCAAAGGATACGGATTTCGAGCACAGGATCCCCACGCACCAGTGGTGGATGAGCCTGCGTCCACTCATCGCGATATTCGCCAAGCACAAGGAGCACGATTTCCGTGGAGAGACCCGCTAGCTAGTGACCCATGCAGTGTGTAGGAGTATGTGTGTTCAGCCAAGCTGCATCTGTAGGAGTCGTGTAACGGCATTCCATGCTGTTGTGTATGTATATTAGTAAAATTAGGATCATCCCGGTTCGTTTGTGCCCACCTGTCTGACAGATGGATAACAGTTATGTTGTATGTCAGCACTAAGAACTTGCTTTCTCAGGTGTACATCCGCCACAGTAAGTAAACACACATGAAGGAAATGATATAAAACAACGTTGCTCCGAATGGCACACTTAATAAGGGTTTCTACATGGGCCTAGTTGTCATGTGGTCCTATTTTCCTTCAAATGGGGAGAGGTTGAACTCAGTTTGGGTGGGGGGCAATCCTTATATTGTGAATTGTGCGCTTCACAACAATATATAGGAAAAGCCGACATGAAATGATCAATACGCCCTATTAATTTGCAGAATACAGAGTTTTCATTATCTGGGAAACGTGATAATAATCAAGAAGGGTACAAAACAAAAATAAACTGGGTAGCTCCTGTACAAAACTAGGTTTTAAATAGAAAAAAGGGGTTTTACAGCAAGTTTACAAATGCTGGCTGGTTTGCTAAAAAAAATCTAAAAGTCGGAGGTAGACTGGTTGTTGATTGACCTCAGATGTTGCTCGCCAAGAAAGACGTGGTTTCGGTCCCGCGCCAACACGTGCAGCAGAGCACGAAGCGACATCCACCACTGCTGCTTGGGCATCCGGTGAGCGAAATCCGTCTCCTCGATGAGGTCTTGGATTGGAGTGGTCACCATGCTGGTTCCCCTGATCCCCACCATACATGCAGACTGTGGGTCCATTGCCCGACTTATCCCCCCTCCCCCACCACCTGTGCGCAGAAGCTTTTCCATTTGCTCCATGAAAAAATCGACGGCGTGTGCAGCATATTTCGTTCCGAGGATTCTGTCGTACGGACTAGGCTTGTCGCCTTGCTGGAGGTGACCTAGAATGTTGGATTCGGTCACAAACATTCCTCTACCTTCTTCGGCCAGTAGCTGGCACATGAACTCGCTCGTGAAGTTGACGCTGCAGCGTTCGCTGCGTGTTATGATTCCCCGCTGTATGCCGTCCGCTTTAAATTTCCCCACGAGTCTAGCAACATCTTTGTGCATGTCAGAGATTGTGAAGTTGTCCTCGAAGATGTATGCAGTGTCCGCCCCTGCTGCCAAACCAGCCATGGTGGCGAGGTAACCGCAGTAACCGCCCATTGTCTGGACAACAAACACTCGCTTGCGGCTGGCGTTGGCCGACTGGCGCAAAACGTCGCACATGGAGACGATAGTGTTGAGCGCCGTATCACTCCCCAGGCTGCAGTCGGTCCCGGGAACGTTGTTGCTGACTGTGGCTGCAATCCCGAGCAGAGGAATCTGGAAGGCTGGGTACTCACTCCGACGTTTCTGGAGTGTCACGAGACTCTCGAATCCGTCAAACCCACCGACAATCAACAGGCCCTGGATCCCGTGTTTGGTAACCTTTTCGGCAATGGTCGGGAGCGTCTCTTCATTCGGCGACGTACGGTTTGTACCGAGGAAAGATCCACCGGCCGAAGCCCACTCGGACACGTCATGCCACTCCATCTCTCTCACCCTGTCAAGGAGTAATCCCTCGAAGCCTTCCTCGATACCCAGGACGGTGTGCCCACTGTAGGTCATGAGACGAACGAAGGCTCGAACGGTGCTGTTCATTCCTGCCGCTGGACTCCCTACATTCATGATGGCCACACGATACGAGTTCCCAGACTCATTTAGCGAGGGGTTGGACCCGCAGCCTCGAGGACCGCATGAAGAAATACGGCGCGAGACCGTGATGTTCCGGAGGAAACTGCTCCCTCGCAGAGCCTGTGCTCGTTTAAAGTTGCACTCTTGCATCGCTCGATTGACATTCCTCGTGGCTTCCACGCACTCCATGAGGGGAATCCGGCAAATGTAGTTGCCCTGTACGCCGATCATCGTGGGGGGAATTTCGCCAGTAGCCTGAAGGAGGACAAGTACAGCCGCAGCACCCATCCTGCATGCGATGAGTCGATCGTACGCGGACGGTTTTCCTCCTCGCTGGACGTGACCGAGCACAGTGATCCTCGTATCGTGACCGAGCTTCGTTTCGATCACCTTCTTCACGTACTGGGAAGTGATTGGCTTGTTCTCCTTGTCCACCGCCCCCTCCGAGACAATCACGATGCTCAATCTCTCCCCGAGACCACAACACGTCTGCATTTTCTGACACATGACGTCTTCCCATCCTGGCTCGGGAGGCTTTTCGGGGATAAGGACCCAGTCTGCACGACCGGCAATTGCCGCCATTTGTGCGAGGTACCCACAGTGACGGCCCATTACCTCCAGTACAAAGCTCCTCTGGTGGCTGGCGGCGGTGCTAGTTAGGCAGTCAACGGCCTCGATGATGCGGTGGAGAGCTGAATCGGTGCCGATAGTCATGTCAGTTCCACACATATCGTTGTCAATGGACCCCACAAGCCCAACAATGTTGAGAAACCTGCACTTTGCTGCTTCCTCTGCAGTGATTCGCTGCTCTTGCTGCAATTCAGCTAGAAGCCCCATCCATTCCTCCTTGAAAACGCTGGCTCCGGTCAGACTGCCGTCGCCTCCAATGACCACCAGGTTCCCTATGCTCCTTTTGACGAGATTGGAGGCTGCTCGTAGCCTGCCTTCCCGTTCGCGGAAATCCCGGCATCTCGCGGTGCCGATGGCCGTCCCGCCTTTGTGGAGGATGTTGGAGACGCTGTTCCAGCTGCACTCCTCCATCCCCTTCTCCCCGCCGTCCACGAGGCCCTGGTAGCCTTCGTGCACGGCGTACACACGCATCCCGCGGTGGAGGGACAGGCGAACAATGGCTCGCAAAGCCGAGTTCATACCCTGGGAGTCTCCCCCGCTCGTCAGCACAGCCACGCTCTTTCCCACCCCGTCCACCGCCATGTCCACGTCCTCTGACAGCGCCGTTCCGAAGGAGAGTCGTACGGCCTTCGTCTGATGCGCCATGTCCTCGGGGCTCAGCAATGACGTCTGCGGCTCCTTCTCCGACGGTAGGCGCGTCCTTTTCCGCAGGGGTAGAACTTCCATTTGCGTACTCTCGCGGGGTGAAAGTTGCTGTCAACGTCAAGCACAAAAAGCGGAAGATGGTGCTCTCTGATTGCTCCTCACCGTTTTATAGGCATGTCCCCTGCATTCCTAACCTCTAGTGACCCTTACCCTTGGCGTGTCTCCAGTCATAAATCACTTTGAACCTGCAATTTCCTCGTCTGAATTATCCTCCGGATTTGTATATAATTATACCAGCTCTAGGCTGGTATCTATATAGTGTCAGCCAGCTATAGCTGGCAGCTACTGTAATTTCAGTACCACCTTTGAAAGGCATAAACAACTAAAGTTCAACTTATACAAGGTCTACATCACTCTAGAATGCCCCCGTGACCTACAATTAATTCCAACTGAAAATTCTGCAGAAATGGATTGGCCAAACTGCAGACTATTCCCTCCCACTAATAATGCAGTAAACCAGCCATTGGACCCAACAGTTAATGTTTGCATGTGCAGATGTTTTGTAAAGTGGTACGTCACCAGCATGCGAAACAATGATTATTATAAATTTTTTTGTTACCCTAGGGGCTGTTGTTTTTTCCTTCGTACATTTTGAAAGTATTTTAGATGATAGAAACATCCATATTTTTTACAAGAATGCATAGCTTAGCATGCATGAGATGCCACAATGTCAATACAATAGCTGGGACATTTGATGCCGGAATGAACTACTATAATTGCAATAAAGGAGTGAATTTGTGACGATAAGCCATAAATGATATCAGTGCATGTAAAATACACACCTATAACCGTAATTGATATACAATTACAAAAACACAAACAGATAAACGATGACGCCAACAACAAAAATAAATTGCCAGCACACAGTTAGTGAAGCTTGAAATCAAGAACTGCGCAGTTTCATAACACTGTCGGTACAACAATTCATGGGTGATCTACTGCCCAGGTACAACCCGGGGCAGAAGGATAATCCCGCGTTGCAGTGGTCAAAAAAACGGATAAAACATCTCACCAATAAACTAAAGAATTGTCTAGAGATGGTAGTGAAAGCGTACAACGCTCCCGAATGCAAGGGAATCTGTTGGGTAGTAGTATAATGTTGTCCTCTTAGAGGATACATAGGTTAAAGAAAAAACGGGACTCCTAGCCAGCTACGTACTACACATGAGCATGTAGCCACGAGAGAGTTGAAATTGAAACAAAACACAAAGTTTGACACACAGAATAGCAACTATAGCGGGGGAAATTCCGTATCCTAACTGAGCTCTTTCGCCTAGTGACTCACACACATTATTCACACATACACACACACTCTCTGTACACCAGACACCACTACACATGATTCGAGGTTAGTGAAGATGGTTAAGTTGTACCTGCGTTAGCATTGGAGCCCGGGTGCGTGTTTATTGTTTGGGCAGGAGACAAATCGCTCGAAGCATTCGAGTCTGATCCTTTTTGATAAGGAGCCGCTGCTTGAGGCTGTTGTGGAAGGTAGTTTGTTCCACAGCTGGCACTTGCGTTAGTATCCAACGGTGGAAGAAGTGTGACAGCTTCGAACTTTATGAGCTCGGGCTGATGCTGAAGGCGTCCTAGTGGGCACGCCACGTCTTGTTGCATCACAGCCTCTTCAACCACGGGGATGTTGTCCTCTCGGAGCCTCAGCTGCCCTTCGCTGGCGACATCGGGAGCAGTTACCAACTGTTGCGTGGCATCGATAGGGACTTCGGAGAGCTGGGGGTAATCGTTGTACTGGGTCACACCAAGGGAACTGGAGGTGTTGCTGCCAGAACTGGCTTTGCTCAACTGCATCAAGTAGGCGTGCATGAGTGGGTTTTCATGGGTTTGGCTGGGAGCTGGCAGTGGCTGGCATGGAAGCAACGGTGCTGCGGTAGCTTGGTTTCTTGCAGCGGTCGACGACGCTTGTGACATCATCAGAGATTGTCCGTCGGACGACGCACACTGGGTTACGAATTCCCCTCCTAATACACCGGCATCCCCGCTAGTGATGGTCATTGGCGCTGCATTGGTGTTCATGTGGGAATCCTCACTCCACATATTCAGTATCTGAGAGGGCGGATCCACGACCTTGATCTCTACCTCCCCGTGCGACTCATTCCCCACCACTCTCCTGACGTTCAGAGCGTCGTCCCTGACGTAGCTCCCCCCGCCACCTCCCCTCCCTCCTCCTCCCCCCGAATACCCACCACCTCCTCCGCCTCCGTAAAGTCCCACTGCACCTCCGCCACCAAACCCACCGTACTGACCCCCCATCCCCCCCTCGAAAAAACTTCTCGCTGATGACGAATTCTGCATAAATCCGGCACCGCCGTACCCCCAACACGGGCCCGAAAAACCGTCAGAGTTTGCATCTTCCCCCGGCGTGCCACCAGTGCCTCCTTTCCCGTGCTCCTTCCCCACGCCGTCCGTTCCCCATGTCTCGAGGTTTGCGTCGCACCCATCTTCGTCGCGTTCTTCCAGCCCTCGCGTCCCGCCCCCTCCCCCCGCTGCGATCAGCAAGTTGCTCTGGGAGATTTCGTTCACGGCGACAAACGAACCCCCACCCCCACCTGTGTTACACACACTCATCGTAGACATTGTCCCCACAAGGACGATGAGAACATCTCCAGATTTAAGAGGGAAGGACCCGCTAATGATGGCCCCACGCCCTCCGTAATGCACCTTCCCATCCGCACCCTTTGCTCCCTTTGCCGTCAGTCGATAGTATCCGTCCGTCGGGATACGGATACGATGAATTCTTCTCATTCCTTTGATCCAGGTCGGGAACGAATCGCACTTGGCCACTACGGACTTGCTCCACATACCCCAACCCGCCACATTCTGCGATCGGATCCGAAATCGGTACTTGTACCCGGGGCAGATGTCCTGGATGTACGAGGCAAGGACGTTCCCAGGGACCATAATGGACTGGGGTTCGCTGTCAAAGTACGAACTGCTCTGGGTCTGGCTCACCTTCAGCGCCGTCTCACCCGTATTTGGTAGATTCTCGTACTCGATCTCGTACCACTGGACGTCAGTGGCGTAGTGAGGCAGCTGCCACTTGAGCTGCAGGAGATTGCTGTACACGCTGCTCAGCTCTACCTCGATTTCTTGCGGGACCGTACCACCGCCCACGGCTCCTAGTTTTCGCAGGTCTTCCATGATACTCAGCGGGATGTAAAACGGGATGTCCTTGTACGAAACCGTTCGCTGGAGACTGCGATCTTCTTCGCTCAAAACTCTCTCCATCCCCTGAAACACCAAGAGGTAGTGGACGAGAAAATCGACGTCGTGTTTCCCGAGGACGCTATTCAGGGAGCCCTGGGCGGCGCTGATATCGTTGAAGGCCGCTTTGATTCTCGTGAGCTGGTCTTCCATCCCTTGTTTCCTATCAGAGTACTGTGTTTATAGGAGAGAAGGAAGAGAGAGAGGGAAGAATAATAACAAATGAAGGGAGAAAGTAGGAACGGTTTCAGGAAAGGGGAGAGGTAAGAAACATGGGGCGAAGGGAGGAGGGGGAAAGAGGGAGAGAGATTACAAAGGGAGTGAAGTGTGTTAGAGAGAGAGAGAGGTAGGGAGGGTAAAGGGGTGTGACAATGTGTGGGACAGAGGAATGCACAAGTCTGTCTACGTTTGGCACGAATGAAAGAAATGCAACCGTAAAAGGGCAACAGCTGCTCCTGTCATAGCGACCATAATTATTCCAACAATGGGAATCCTTCCCCTCCCCAACATTGGCATAGTGCAGTACACACATAGTAAGAGTGGCCATTATGTGTTCAGCAAAGAGAACTATGTACATAGTTTGTATAAACCCATTAGGCTGCCAGGGTATTCAGTGGCCCAAAAATGGCAAGTGTTTGAAGGAGCACTCATCTTTTAACAAAAGGTAAAAACTAGCAAATTTCGAAGGAGAGGCCTCCATCTACTGAAATGCACGATTGCTTTTCGAAGCATCACCAAAGCTGGTGGCAGATGTATCAGGTTCAGGGGGGCCCCTGCAATTTGTCCCTCTTATTGCACAACACACTGCACCATGCCATAATGCAAGCCGCCACAATATACCTTATGTCCCCAGAACATGCACATAGTTTCACGCCATTCATTAGTACATAGCCAGCAACTACGGACCCTTTTAAGGTGTGTAGCTGACCTCAGCCCCCTACACTGCTGTGGACGAACAGCTCGTGAATATGTTAACATTGTGAAAGTACGGTAATGCACTTCAGTTGTACTGCATATTGGCAAGTGCACTAACGAATGTAGAAGTTCTCCACCCTTCACAAGCTTCTTTCGATGGTCAAAGCAGAAGGGAAAAGAAAGGACAAAAATCTGCCAGGAGTCAACGCAATACATGTCTCAACAACTTGGTAACGAGGTAGAAAGACAAGGTAAGGCAAACAAGTCAACTAGACCCAGGACAACTGTTCCCTTTCATAGACACAGACAAGTCACACATCACATACATATACAGACAAGCAAAAATCTTGGCCGCCCAGATTGAACTCCTGACTCTTTCACGCCATTAATGTGTATATAGACCCTTCAATTGAGCAGGCTTCCAGGCTCCAGCTACTAATGTTCACTGATATAGTGTAGGGTTCAAGACTGAATAGGTTTGCACTAACAAGAGATTGGATGTACTTGGCAAGAAGGCACAGAAGAAAAGAAACAATATTATTAACCTTAGCATAAGACATGTGCAGTCTCACACAACTTAACTGGCTAGTGAAGTTAGTCTACCTAGTCGTCTAGATGTTCTATCATGTTTTGCCACCCTTACTGTAATGTCCTACATAATTCTAAACACGTGTAGGTAAGTTTTGCTACTCACGATGCAGCCAGAACACTCGCATGCACCAGAGAATCTAGCACTGCAGCTTCCACATAGTATAGTAGCATTGTACCAGTTGGGCTTCACTTTACAGTCCACATGATCAGTGGTGAAGGCTGTTATTTCAGCCCAGTCTATAGTAGACATGTGACCAATTACATGACATCACAGGCTTCAGTGTTCACCGCAATGCTTGTATGTAGGTGGGCCAATTCAAAACCTGTTTCACAAACAGGATAAACTGATCTTCTTCAGGGTATTCAGGAATTGTGTGCGCATATGCAGAATCCAAATATGGGTATTGAGGGTGGATGCATGATGTATATGTATGTATGTTTCCATGATTACTTTCCAATAGCAAGAGACGGTATTTGGCATGCAATTACACTGCGATCGCCCACATGTATGTTCCTAGAGCTATGCCATAGTGAGTGGATACATGTACAGCGATTCACAGAACTAGAGTGCCTACTATAACACACATAGGCACAGTACATTATACCTTAGTTTGATGCTGACCATACAATTATGGGTTAATCGTCATGGGCACACCCTCTCTAATTAAGGCACCCTAAAATGAAGGGAGTTTGATGAATGTATATACAAGCTTCCACATGCAAAGTTTTCTAGGCCTGCTAGGAATGAACCCTGGGAACTTGCAGTAAGGTTTACAAACACATGCTTTAGCATTAATTACTCAATCTCCACTCTCTCTTCTCTTTCCCTCACCAGCCACAAGCATATTCACACACACACACAGTCACCAGTACACTCTCTCTCTCTCTCTCTCCCGCACAAACCTCGGCCTGGACATGTTTCATCAGCGTCATCTGTCTCTCTTGAATGATCTCGCGGATCTCCGAAAACTTCTGCTGGATCTGATTCTTTGTTTGCTCCACGGTCGGTCCCAGCTCGGCGTTGTTTGCCGATATACTCCCCAGTGCCACGTTCAACTTGGCCAGAATCCCCTGGCTGTACTTGACCATCCGCTTAGCCTGAGAGCGCAACGTCTGAACGGCGTCGTTAATTGGCTCAAACTGGTCCCTCATATCGGCAAACTCGGGCCGCGAAGACTCGCACTCGCTGCAGGCAAACTGCTGAAATTTGATGGAGTAGAGCGTCGCCAGGATTCGCGGGTGGTACAAGCAGTAGGCAGCGTGCGGATTGTTTACCTCGGTCATGAGCATGCGTCGATGTCGCGTGACGGGCTCAAACCCACGATTGTGCTCCGTCTTGATACACATGCTGCAAAACAGGGTGTTGTTCTTGGTCGGGTTGCAATCGAAGCAGACCCACGTCGCCCCCTCCTCACAGTGCAGCCCCTTGTACTCACACTGCGGACCGACGACTTTGGTATCGACCCGTTTAGAGTCGCTGATCTTAATAATTTCGAGCACCGCGTGGTTTACCGGTATGAGTTTCGGGTCGGGCCTTGACAGCTCGTGGAGGGAGCTACAGAAGGCGCACTTGACCCCATAGCGTTTCCCGGCATGAATACTGACGAGTTGCGCGAGGCATTTGGTGCAGTAGGTGTGTCCACATCGCAAGACACGAGGCGTGGTGTCGTACTCGGTTCCGTACTGCTCGTTGCATATGGGGCACTCCAAAACCTGTACATATACATACAATGGAGTGGTATACAGAGAAGCATGGGAGTCAACAGTTAGACATGTGCAGGGTCATTGAGACTCATTTATTCATCCCTAGCTGAAATAATTGGTCAGTGTTCACAAGTACAAAACTCTAGGGGGCATTGGCATATACACACAAACATTCACACTGGGCCCAGCCCAGTATAAAAATCACACAGGGCAGAAAAGAACCGGTTCACCAGAGCGTATGACACGACTCACAGAACGAGGGAGGCGGTCTACTACACGCGGGCAAGCGGAACCTCGTGCTCCGCTTGCTGAGGTAGCTAGCTACATACACAGTTATCCCTGCCTACATCTTACCCCCACACGAACTACGGTTACCAGACAGTCATCACAAACTCACAGAGGGCGTCGCAAGCACGTCCTGCTGCTCTGGGTTGGCCATCTCGTTAGCGGCCGCCGTCTTCGTCGTAGGAAGCAACACTCTTGCTGGCGACGACACGCACGCGTACACACGGATGCAGAGACCTTAGGAACGGCGTGGGTCATCCAAAGAGCTACTGTGTGGCTGGTGCGTGTGAACTTTCGCCTTGAAAATGAAGCGCACTCTTCTTCGGTTAGGCGGCGGACAGGCTAATTTTTTCTCCACAAGCGGACTCAAGAAATGAGACGGGTGAACCTCAAATGGTATGCGCATGCGCCTTGGCGTTCCGGTGCGGCCAAGAATGCAGTCAAGCCGGTTTCTCACGTGCGGATGTCACGCGACAATCGGGCGGCGCCGCGTCGACGCGTCGACGGAATCTACGCATGCTCTAAAACGAGGCGGGTCGTAAAAATTCAATTCCAGCTCTGCAATAGGTCACAGTACAGAGATAACGGAGCAAAATTCATAGGGAGTGTAATAAATTGTACCACAAATCCTATATAGCTGGAATAAAAGGCTGCTAGATGTCTTTTGATTTACTCATTGTCCACATGCACAATTTTCACATATCCGTGACCCTCATTTCCCAGCCATCGTTTCACGTCCATTCCACCTTCCAGCACGTAGCTCCCACCTCCCCCTCCACCTCTCCCACCCCCTCCTCCAGAATATCCCCCACCTCCACCTCCACCATAGTGCCCAACTGCACCGCCTCCCCCAAAACCCCCGCCCTCCCCCGGGGTACTCGCACCCCCGTGGAGAAACGACTTTGCAGACTGCGACGCCGACTGAAATCCGGCCCCCCCATACCCCCAACAGGGACCTGTGAATATCGCATCTTTCCCGCATTCTCCGTTCGAGCCTCCGTTGGCCCACTGTACCCCGACTCCATCGCAGCCGTCCCCGGAGCGAATATTGGCGTCTACCCCGTCATAGTCCTCGGAATCATGTCCACGTGTACCTCCACCTCCCCCGGCAGCAACGAGGAGGTCTCGCTTCTTGTTGACCGCCACGAAAGTTCCCCCTCCCCCACCCGTGCTCGGTCCGACCTTGCTCGACATTCCTCACAGAGCATTATCAGCTTGTCCATTCTGCAAACGCCAGGAAGAAAAAGGTTTAACAGAGAAAGTTGCTAAAAGTCAGCTGGTACTACATATAATACACACTCTAGCTCCAAAATCAGATCTCGTGCAATTTACACACGCAAAATTACTCCCAAAGCCATTAAGAGCACTCAACGGACCAAAAACAAACTCATCGCACAAGTGTGGTTTTTGCTGTGGAAATGAGCACTCAATCATTTTAACTGGTATTCCGTGAAATGGAAAGATTAACTTCACATCAACAACAGACACCTAAAGGGTTTGGCAGCTATATACATAATAATTATGCATACCTATATACATACCATATGTAACGTCTCGCGCCAGCAGCCGGAGAGCGTCCAGAGCGAGATAGGGATTTACATGGCAAAAAGTCTCTTAATGGCTCTATGTACAGCACTTTTATAGCTAGTTGCTACGTAAATACATCACCACAGAATGTAATTAATTATGAGAGGTTCATAGGTTCAATAGGTTTACACATACACTAGAGTCGGCATTTTGAACTCTTGTTTACTCGTGGTACTGGCTAATTTGGACAATTTCCGCCTCTTTACGAAGGAAGTTTACAGTTTCTTTATCGAGCTTTTGAAAGTGAAACCCATGTCCGTTCTTGCAACACTACGGCTGATATTATCCCTTTTTTGGTCGGGGCAAGGCGGTGCTTTTTCCTGTTTGGGTCTAATTGTGGTAACCATGGGTCACTTGCTCTAGCTGCTGGCAGGTCACTGTATGCGATCTGAAAGGGTGCCAAATCCCGTTAGCCAAAACTGGTCCGATTGCCTACTCCTGTGAATCGAGTATGCGCATTCTCTGCCCATTGCTGTGAGTGCATGGTGTAACTGCTCCATGTCAATTGAGTTAATAATAGTATGTGTCATCAACATTGTCAAACCAAAGCAAAGGTAAACAACGCGACACCTTATTACTGGGATTAGTTGTTGAAACGAAAGAAAAGGACGAAAGCCAAGGGCTTGTTTATTTCACGACAAAAAAAATCCGAAAGAAATACTGTTTAAGCATGCTGCACATGATCACGTTCGCGAAAAGTTGCTTTAGAACTATTCGTCGCAGGTGTAATGATACGCTGCTGACAAAAGCTGCTGTAAACACCACACCCACGACAGATATCGTCATCAGAGATACTACTATCATGATGACAATGATCACCAGGGTTGCACTCACGTCGACCACAACAATCATCACCACTACGAGAAACAGAGTCACACGCCCGTGATTGCCATCACAGCATCGAGTATAGGCATGAGACATACCTATGTACTACGTACACCTACACATCAGCAATAGCACGAATGCAAGTTAGGTAGTGTGGCGACTGCAGTTGTGTAACAAGGCCTGGAAAATGTGTGTGATCTCTTTTTGATGTGTGCTATTGCACTCTGCTGACTTGTCATGAACCCACGGACACCAGCCAAGGTGTGATCCTCCCATGCAAGTGCATACTTCTATGGAGAAAAACTATGTATAAAAAATTTACACGTTACTTGGCGCATCACCCAACGCTCAGCTCCACTATTAACAATTGTGGGTCACTTTGACCCCTTTCACATACATTCAGATAAGCCTAGTGTAACACCCACCATCCATTGCTAAAGGTTCGATATACAGTGGAACCTGTCTCTTTAGACAAATGAAGAACACCCTTCTAATAAGGACACCTTTCTTCCCCAAGAACAGTTCCCTTGGAACAAAGACATATCTCTCTAATGTGGGCACTTTCTTCTGTCCCATCAGCGTACTAGAGGGATTCTACTCAATTACGCGTGGAAATCTAAACTATTCACTTGTTTAGAAGAAACTTTGCTTCAATGATGGCTCCTTGACCTCCTTTCTTGGTGTTACCGTCAGCTGCCTTGGCCCCGCCAGCCGTGATACAGTACAGTCCGTCCGTCAGTATGACAACCTCCACAATCTCGCCCGTGTACTGAATGGTGAGCGGAAACCGGGGATACAGGCACGTCGTAATCTCGCTCCATCGCCCCCAGCCCGCAGTGTTGAGCGAGCGGATACGAAAGTTGTATCTCTTCCCGGGGATGAGTTTATCGATTGTCTTTTCCATCACGGTGGCCTTGACTTTGACGGAGATTGGCGACGATTCGACGGGGCTCTTTGTCCCAATGTCAGACTCTCGGTCAACCATTTCGTACTCGATCTCGTACTGACGAATGGTGGGGTCGTCTGGTTTACCCCAGCTCAGCCGAACCACGCCGTTTTCTACGTTCACCTGGAGAGAGAGGAGAGAGAGAGTGTGTGTGAGAGAGAGAGGAGAGAGAGAGTGTGTGTGAGAGAGAGAGAGAGAGTTAGAGAGGGAGTTATAGACTCCTCTGTACATACATTAATCCACATTGTGATCACGATTGCGTGTGCTAATACTCCAAATCCTTACATGCCAGACCAAAATATCAGGTGGGAGTTATGTGCATCAAAAGGGTCGTCACACACCTCACTTTTGCCAACTTCACCAACGAGTCACAATGTTACATACAGGTATATATGTAGTAATGTGAAACTTTTCCACGTGCAGGGAATTTGGTCGTAGATTTCAAGTTCAACCATATAATCTTCAGTGAACTTAACTGAAAAAAAGGTTGTTTTTTTAAATAAAAACCACAGTAGCATCATATCAGATGAGATCCTCTTTCTTACATTATACAAATTCCAGGGTTACTACAGCAAAGATTAAAATTTTGGGGATTTTACTGAAGAATGTGGACAGTCTCCTACAGACGCCGCGGACCGCTGCTCTTTCTGATCCCATGTTGATTACACAGCATTCTCAACACTACCACACTCTCATTGTGCTACTAGCTAAAGAGGAGAGGGCTGTACGTAACAAGCAAAGTCAGAGAAAAATATGGATAAAATTTCAAGAGGGCGTAAATCACCTTCATCTACTGAGGTGATATGATGGTGTAGGGGAACAAGAAGAAGAAGAAGATGAACAAAACTCCCTATCATAGCCCCATACATCCATGATGCTATATAGGTATACAGTGCCCATCCCTATATACTAAGTACTACTGTACTTCTGATATGATTTTGGCAGTGTCTGGAATTGTCTGGGAACAAGGCTAGTTGTACATACAGGTTTGGTATATAATAGTCTCGTACCCCGCAAAGAAATTACTCAAGCTAGCCGACCGACCTGGAGTTCAGTGGGTTGACGGCCGCCGCCCACAACACCCAGCGACGATATGGCCTCCAGGAAACTGGGGTTGATGTGGAGGGGGATGTTGCCCATGGCAATGGAGTTTTGATAGGTCGGCACGTCTTCGTCGTCAAGCTGGTTCTTCATGGAGGAGATGATGTGTTCTGCCTGGGAGGGGAGGGGTGGGCTTGCTTTAGAATAGTTTCGCAATTCAGTACAATGAAACTTCTGAAAAAGGATCTCCTGCACTTCTCTTAATTAAGGGACACTTGGTCTGCCCCGTACTAATACATTAGTGTAATATAGTACTTCCGAATAAAGGAAGCCTCAGAATAAAGGAAAAGTTCAGTGTGTCCCTTATTCAGAGGTATATTTGTATACACCCACAGACCTATATACTAGAGAGCTTACTACGTATGTACTGTATGTATGTACGTATGTACTGTATGTATGTACGTATGTACTGTATGTATGTACGTATGTACTGTATCTACATGTACTACTGCAGTGCATATTGGACTATGTATATACACGTAATTATACCTGGTGGAGATAGCTGTAGTCCTGCATCTGGAGGATCATACTGGCCTGAACCACTGAGGTCTCCGAGTCCCCCTGTGACACCTACACATACATTATGATACATAATGTATGAATCAGGGGGTGAAAAACACAAGGCAAGTGACTATCAATGCCACCTACATAGGACAACACATGTGCGTGTCATTGACAAGGTCAAGGAAAATCACAATACAACTACTTATGACCACCACTCTCTCTAGAATGAGCACTCTACCACTGAGCTACCAGGGCAGCTCAGCCGGCAGGGTTCAAAGTCTGCAATACAACACAATACAACTATACATACATGTATGACCACCACTCTCTCTAGAATGAGCACTCTACAACTGAGCTACCAGGGCAGCTCAGCGGCAGGGTTCAAAGTCTGCAATACAACTACATATGACCACCACTCTCTCTGCACTCCTATATACCAGGGCAGCTCAGCTGGCAGGGTTCAAAGTCTGCAATACAACTACATATGACCACCACTCTCTCTAGAATGAGCACTCTACAACTGAGCTACCACGGCAGCTCAGCCGGCAGGGTTCAAAGTCTGCAATACAACACAATACAAGACAGAGGCAAACCCCAAACTCAGGCCACTTAATGATTATGCATTACCTCCAGTCGATCCAACTGTTCTTGAAGGGCCTTGCGTTGAATGTTGGCCTGAGCAGTCAGAACAGTAATTGGGCAGTACACATGTACATACACATTACTGATTTGGTGCTAAAAGGTGTAGTAAAAACGGAATTCATTGCCGTTCTATTATAATTGCACACGCTCTGAAAAATTACGTGTGGCAGCAGCACTCGAACATACAATGTCGTGTTCTATTGTAACCTTTGCTGTAAGTTGGCCTCGTGTACCATCGACTCTAGATTAATCCCCATCTCTGACCTCGCTCTCCACGTTCAGAAGAAGTTCATGGAGCCTGTGCTTGAGAGCCATGTCAAAGTGGTTGAACTCGTATCGTACCTTGTCCATCGTCTTCTGCTTCTCCTCATCCACCCGATCTACATAATTATAGTATCACACATCACACACACACACACACAGCTAGCTCCCGAGATTTATTGCTGGGGGACAATCAGCCTCACTAGCAACAACTTTAGATGGTCCCAATAACACCGACACCCACTATTTGGGGGTCAAAGTGTCCCCTGGGAAGCATATTCAGGGGACAAATGAAGAGATAGAGGGACTATGTCCCCCCCTGGTGAACTCTGGTGCCAGCCCTGCACACACATTAACTGGTGAACTCTACACAACACTACAAGTTGAAAACCAAATGCTGTAACTCTTCGCTGTACATCACATGGTCCAATACTACCTTCATGTGTGACAAATTAATGTGTAGAGGGGTGACCTACTGGCACACCACTTGATCTTACAACACCACACAATTTTGAATTATAGCAGCAGGTGAGGGGAAGGCCTGTAGCAGCTGTTCTCAGCAACTTAAGCACTACTAACAAGGGGTTCAGTATGATACATATACCAACAATTATTGTGATTCAGGGAGTGATGTGGTTGGAACCAAAACTGTAATAGTACACATCTGCAAACTACACAAAAACTAATGCAATGGAGTATGTACATATACCTAGAATCACCTAAATATTAGAAAGATTCCGCATTCAGACAACTAATAGGGTGGGTTCACCAATAATTGTTAACAACACTGACTGAGGAGTGTTTCCAGCTCAGTTCTGGTCTCCTGCATCACCTCAACTCTCTCCCGGATCAGTCTGGTCAGGTTCGGGACCTGTCCAGGAGAATCAGATGTAAGATTTCTGCATACATACACACATACACACATACATACATACATACATACACACACACATACATACATACATACATACATACATACATACATTCATACATACATACATACATACATACATACATACATACATACATACATACATACATACATACATACATACATACACACATACATACACACATACATACATACATTCATACATACATGAAAACCCTCTCTAAGAACACCCCAGAAATGAGAACACGTTTTAAGTAAGGACACCTTTTTCTTCCCCAAGAGCAGACCTTACATACAGTAACAAGGAAACCTCACTGATGCTTGGTTCACAATATTATGTCGCATTGCCCTGTCGCGCCTTGCCGTTTCGCCACATCGCGAGGATAGCACATTCTCGCAGCAGGACGCGACGCGGCACGGCACGACGTGACAATGCGACATATTGTGTACCTAGCCTTATATATGGACACTTTCCTCTGTCCTCTGTCTAGATTGCAGGGGTTCCACTGCTGACGATGATCGCGGAATTCCACATACAGTAAGTTTCAATGTCTGTCTTAACATGTAGCACCCACGTAAGTAGATACAGACCCTTACCAGAATACGTTGTAACAAAAAATGCACACACTGTAATCAGGCTGACCTGTTCGCGTACTCTCCGGACGGCGTCCTCGATGGACTGGAACTCATCTTGTTCGAAATCTCGGTCGTCCCTGCAGTGCTCGCACGCAAACTGGTTCACCTGGTTTAAGGACATACATTCAATTTCAGGAAACGCATAGACAGTCAAATAACTAAAAAGAGTTCACACAGCAGAAAACACACATATAAGGTCATTGCAGAATTACTTTTTTACCCAATAAAGTGGAAGATATGCGGGCTGGAAGGTATTGTAGTGTATGTTAAACAGGGATACCCTAAAATTGTCTCATTCTATCAACTCCAGAAAATTTCGTGGGAGTCAAACTCTCTGCCATTAGACAATGAGGATTCCAGGGCCAGGCACAAGAACACCCAAACAGAAACTCAATACACTATATGGTAGATATAACTACCAGGAATGTGCAATATCATACTGAATTATAGGAAAGCATAAGCATAAGTATTTCAGATACAGTAGAAAGCACTAGGTTCATTATAACCTTGAAAGAAAAGAAGAGACACGGCTTTCCTGTGTGTGTGGAGCAGGTTGGCACTGGGGTCTGGACCCTGGGGAGAGAGAGAGAGAGAGAGAGAGGTAAGGCAGGGATTGGCACTGGGGTCTGGACCCTGGGTAAGGGAGAGAGAGAGAGAGAGAGAGGTAAGGCAGGGATTGGTACTGGGGTCTGGACCCTGGGTAAGGCAGAGAGAGAGAGAGAGGTAAGGCAGGGATTGGTACTGGGGTCTGGACCCTGGGTAAGGCAGAGAGAGAGAGAGAGAGAGGTAAGGCAGGGATTGGTACTGGGGTCTGGACCCTGGGTAAGGCAGAGAGAGAGAGAGAGGTAAGGCAGGGATTGGCATTGGGGTCTGGACCCTGGGTAAGGCAGAGAGAGAGAGAGGTAAGGCAGGGATTGGCACTGGGGTCTGGACCCTGGGTAAGGCAACGAAAGAGAGAGAGAGGGAAAAGCAAGGCAGGGATTGGCACTGGGGTCTGGACCCTGGGTAAGGCAGAGAGAGAGAGAGAGAGAGGAAAAAGCAAGGCAGGGATTGGCACTGGGGTCTGGACCCTGGGTAAGGCAGAGAGAGAGAGAGAGAGGGAAAAGCAAGGCAGGGATTGGTACTGGGGTCTGGACCCTGGGTAAGGCAGAGAGAGGGAAAAGGTAAGGCAGGGACAAACAGTATACCACCAAAACCTTGTAAGACACAGTTTATTGCTGCTAAGTTGTGATGAGTGATTTGTAATACATGTGGCATCTCCAATTTTGAGCGAATGGGAGAAATTAAGAGACAGTAGGACGAGAAAATAACTACTTGACAGCTCCGAGTGGTTTGGGAGAGTGTTTCTGGACGGGAGGGAAATCCCGGTTGTGTTCCTGACTGGAGCAGGAGTCACAGAACGGGAACCCAGTTGGGAGGCACTGGAAACATAGGAGAGTTGCCTTCACCATCTGACACGCCTGACATATGGCCTCCTGCTGAAAGGCCGGTAGCTGGTGCACTGGCTGTGAGGGTGGGAGGAGGAGGAGGAGGAGGAGGAGGGGGGAGGAGGAGGGAGGAATAAGAGAATAAGAGCACCATACCTAACGCAATGCACCATTAGTGGGGCAAATGCGAGTATATGTTTTAGTGTATAGTAAATCGCTGTGAGTGACAAATTTGGCGAAATATTATGGTATATACAGTAATGGTAATAAAGTGGAAGTTTGGACCACTACACTGGTAGGCTCATATGACTCACCAATGTATATACTAGTATTTACAGGAGAGCAAGCATTCACTTTGGAAATAACAAGGGAGCATAAATTTGCCAAAAAGTATGCACAACTCTCTATCTCTGAGGCTCTCCTCTTCCTTACCCGCTCCTCTGACTTTTCGTTCATGGCCTCCACGTACTTCATGATGGTGATGTTGGGCACGTGATTCTCAGAGCAAGGCAGGGAGCACTGGGGACACTGGAACATCTCCGGAGACTCACACGACTTGCGACGGTCCTCAAGACACTTGTAGCAGAAGGTGTGCCCGCAGAGAGCCAGCAGGCGAGGCTGGTTCTCGCCGGACGTCGTGTACGTGCAGTGGCACGTGGGACAGCTCAACATGCTGCCTGGGCGGATGAAAAGACAGAGCTAGAGAGAAGCCCTTGTGACGTATACGCGAGCGCCATAGCTAGTTCGTTTACTTCGTGAAAAATATTTCTCATCTCACCTGCTGGGACCGGGACTTTCTCTCTCCGGTAAAGAAAACGCCACAACAACCGAGTTCTTCAAAGTTCCCCGGTAGAAACCCGAGGAAATGTGGGTGTAATTAACTCTAATTTTGCGAAATAGTAAGTATCTCACAATGGGAAATTTTGAAATTATCGAGGGGGCGTTCAGCCCTAGTGCTGTGTAGCTCGAAGTCCAGTTCTTTGGTCTGTGGAGGGCGCAGGATGTCTCAGCGCACGCTGCCGCTGCTGTTCTTCAATCTCGGAGGCGAGATGCTCTACATACTGCACCAGAGACTGCATGCGCAGAACGTGGTTACGGGAAAAACAGCAAGAGGTACATAGCTAAACAGTGCACTTCTGTGGGTCTCCTGGCGGTACAGTATTGAAACCTACGCAGTAATGCAGGACATGGTGAAGACCATGTTCAGAGAGCAGAGTCTGGAAGAGCTGTTTAAGCCTCAGCCCATCCCCTCGAGGAAAGGCCTCCAGATGCTCCTCCAAGGAGTGGCCCACTCCTCCATCATGAGACTCAGTAATACTGCCATGGACAAGGTTGGATACCCCCTCCTTGCGTCTATCCTATCTTCTTCCTCCCTTTATTTCTTTTTCCCCAACTTTGCAAACTTCGCCAAACTTCTGTCATTCCCCTCTCTACTCTCTACACCTACACTTTCTTCCCACTCCACAGGGGAAAGAGCATGTATGTATGTATGTATATAGTAGATTCCCCCCTCCCCTTGTGCACTCTCAAAAGGGGTGCATTATCAGGCCATACTGTATGTACATGCAGTTCTCTTCTTTGCATTTGTATATATAGCTATTCAGTGTAGGTGCAGGCATAAAAAAATATTGACTCTGGAACTCTTCAAAAATTCTCCTGTTGTATAATATAAAACCATTCAGATGTGCATATCCCTCATTCCTAACCTATCCCTCCCCCGTCTCCCAGCTGTATGACCTGATATCAATGGCCTTCAAGTACCAGCTGATGGTTTGCCCCAGACCGGAGGACATAGTTCTCGTCACACTCAACCATCTGGACTCTATCAAGAGCCTCGTGGCCGATGACTCGCAGCACTGTCACGATATGATCCACACTGCCTGCAGAAAACTCAATGAGGTGCCTATATATAATTATTCTAAAATTTTTACGGCACATATTATTATGAGAAAATTATACCATGTGATGCCAAGAGAAAAAAGCAGTACAACTTTCACAAAATATCATGAAAATTATAGAGCATTCATACTGTATGTGTTCTTTAGGTGACCTACGTATGAGGCCAAATGACACAATTTGAGTGTAAATAGCTCTCTATTTGTCTCTCTCTCTCTCTCTCTCTCTCTGCCGCTACTCATGTGATATACATACATACAGCACTACAGTCTACTGTCCAAGGCAGAGTTCGTCACACTGAGGAACACAATGCTGTCTCTCTTTCAAGATTCTCAGAAAAGAGTATGTGCACTGTCGTCCACACATCATATCACAGTGGAACTCCCTAATCGGGACACCAAATGGGACAATAAAGTGTCCATATTGTTGAAGTGTTCTTCTTTCTGGGGTTAAATTATTGGGGAAAGAAGAGGTGTCCTTATTAGAGAGGTATCCTCGTTTCAGGCTGTCCTTGGAGAGGGGTTCCACTATATAATATTCAGTACGATGTACTGTAATGTATCGATTATCCAGATATCGGTGCTGATGAGGCAGAAGTTGCAACATCAGAACGGAGCGTTTGTGATTCCAATCGATGGTCCCATTCCAGTCGGCTTTGAAATCCCTGGAACCATCCGGTACGTGAAAACCTCTCCTGTTGTCACAACTTTGCAGGAAACTTGTGCAGTTTTTTCTTTGTGTCTCTTCCTCACTACTTCTATTACTCCACTGTATGGAGTAGCCTCCCGTTATCTTTTCCCCTTCTCTTAGCTCTCTGATTCCCTGCGCTTCCTCTTAAACCATTGATTACACCCTCTCCTTCCCTCTCCCCTCAGCTACTACTCAGAGGAAGGCGAAGTTGTTCAAACTGATCATTTCCCAACCGCCCATCACTACACTCCTCCATGTAAACAAGGCTCCTGGGAGACGACGGGAGACAGAGTCACCACTCTCGGTCTCAATATGTGAGTTGACTCTTGTTCTTGAGTCTTGTGGTCCCACTGTTTTCACTCTTGGTTTTCAACATGTGAGTCTCTACTATAGCTTATGTCACTGCTAATCTCTGTCAATGTGACAGTTTATAGCAACTCAATATGTGAGTCTGTATATATATATATACTCGTGAGTCTATATGTACATGTCTCAATATGTCTCAATGTGTGAGGTTCTTGGGCTATACTGCTCTTCATATTAGTAATATGTAAGCTGTGACTCAAGGTGCAAGCATAATTACAATCATGATGTTTTGACGCGTCTGTTTCATATATATCCTGTAGCTATGAGAAGGACTCACCAGGTGCCAGGCCAAGGCAGCAGAGGTCAGTGAGTGAAGAGAGATGTGGGAGAACTCGTGGCACAGGGGGCAGCAGTAGGATGAAGGAAACCAGAGAAGACACACAAGTTAGTGGGTGCAGTTTTCTGTCCATAGCAAGCATGGATGGGGGGGGGGGCAGTTGAGTGAAGGAAAGTAGAAAATAAGTAACAGTGTTCCGTCCACAGTGGCATAGGTGGTTGGTAGCATATTGGTTCATGTTTGCGAGATTTTCACACTATAGCGAATATACTGTTGACCACTTTTATACAGTTGAATATGTTATGTATATTACATGTAGGAGGATGTTTCAACAGCAGTAGGTAATGTTGAATTGACTCTACTTCATCGTCTGCTAGTCTCACCTCAGACAGACAAAGGTTGGCCGAAAACATTAAACTGCATGGTATCATAGCTATGAGTGGTTCAACGGTTGAGCTCAACAAAAATTGTCTCTTCGCAGAGCCCAGTAATATTATGTGTGTAGGGATCGTTGAGATTTAAGGGTTTGATCAATTTCTCTAGTGAATTTGTCCTCCTGAAAGAGTCACTCTTGTGCCTGGGTGGATGCGAATAGTTAGGGGATGTTGTCCCCCACTCTTTCCACTGCAGAAACTACATTCAAGTTAAACCTGTTCCCGGATCTTAAATTGGACGGCGGCGGCACTGGTTCCCCTGGCGATGAATCAGCATCGGGAAGAGAAACGTGAGAAGTTACAGTGGAAAAAATGGTTTTGTGCACTGTGTGTGACACCCCCCATCATCCTGCAGTAAACCCAGTTTGATATAATTATTATAGACTTGTGCATGACTGCTACAAGTTGTATGAATGTGTATTAACGTGTTCCGTTTTTTCATGTATAGCAGTGAAAGGAATAGAGGAAATGTGCTCCATTTGGAAACCAACAAGGTATTTACAAACACTAAGTCTTGCTGTTTATCACACACACACACACACACAGTCTCACTGCATTCACCTAACACGGGACGTCTCCTCTTTTTCATGTTCATATGTAATTATGACCGTAGTATAGTCAGTGGTTTTCTTCTGTCCAGAAAGGTACAGAGGATCTCAACAGAATCAGAGAAGATTTCACCACAGCTGACACTGGTATAATATCTATTAATAGGGCAGTGTGGCTGTTAATCTTTCATCTCACTCACACAGAACAACATGCAGCCGATGAGGAGGACCTTCTTGATCTACTAGACCAGGCCACAGCTTGATGACTTGCCTACTACATTGCCAGTACTGAAAAACACACCAACCAACACGCATGCGCAGTCTTATCACAAATTTATACGCTGACGTCACGCTAGTATTCGAATTGTGTGAAAAAAGGCGGTGCTTAGCCCACGCGTCTCTGGATCTCCCACTGTCGAAGCAGAGGCGGCGTTTTTTCTCTGTCTCTCGCAGCAACAGGTACACTAGCGCGCGGCCGACGTTCGAGTCAGTGCTCGTCCAGGTATGGCCTGTGTCACTCTGAAACGGCCCATCGACGTGTTGGGCAGTCCGCACCTTGCCGAGATAGCGCCTCTGGCAAAGAGAAAGCGGTGCGGTCCGCCGCTCTTCGCTGCCACCCCGAGCAGCCCCGCCGGCCGCGGGGTGAAAAGGGCAAAGAGACGGCTGGACGTGGACGAGGCCTACTCTCCTAACTCTGGTCCGGCTAGTCCGGTCCAGTCTCCTTTTGTCGGTGCCGTGCCTCCCGTCGAACCAGGTAACTGAACCCCCCTTATGAATTTATAATCATACACAGTAGCAGAAAGCTAATATATGGTGTATGAAAATTAAATATTCGGCGTTCCAACCGGGTTACTAAAAAGTGATGTGGTATATAGTACAAGTGGGGTTAGCTAGCTCCATGCGGTTGAGGCTGGTGTGTATAGGGTGTGGTAAAAGTCATATAGATAGGTTTTTGAGGACCTCGTTTTTCACGGCTATGTCTGCCATCTCTTTAGGAGAGCTAAGGGTTTAGGTAGCGGGTTTATCAAAATGTGTTCTCCCGTTTGTTGAGACCACGAGTCATGTTTTGTGTTTACATACCTTGTGGTGTGCTCCAAATAGAAACACCGACACATGCAGTAGGAACCAATTGCTAGTGGAGATGCTTGTGGCTTTAGTCACCCACCATATCCCGAGGCAACTAGTGTGTTGCTGTCGTAGGTAGAAAACGTCTCGATTGATTTGTACACCTGTATTTACCAGGCACAAATGCTTATTCCCACGCATGTGTATCTGTTGGTGATTGAAATTTGGGGGGAAAAATTTTCCCACGTGTTGACGGTAGATCACCAATGACAAGTTTCTATAGTCGTCCTGCACAAGAATAGTCTTGCATCATTTGTATGGTAGACAACTTTCTATAAACCTCACGAAATACAACATGTATCATAAGTCTCATCATACAAGTCTACCTAGAGGAGTGTTTGTGTGTCTGTTTCTTTCAGAGAAGTTGGCAGCTCGCATGGAGCTGGAGTTCAAGAGGCTCCAGAGGAGAAGACTGTTCATGGCCGACACTGACAGCTGCCCCTCCTCCGTTCCAAACAGTCCCGGGTCCTCGAGCGGTACCGGAACGGGACAGGCCTCCTCCTCCTCCTCCAACAAAGATCAACCACTGTTCACTCTAAAACAGGTATCGTATCTACTGTAATATTGTATCTTCTAAAGGCTGGGGTATATAACATACCACTTTGTATGTAGGTATATATGCCTATAGGGATGGGGTTAACGGTGTGCATTCCATGCTCTTGTGTGCACTAGGCTCTACTTCTTCACAACGGTCCAATAATGACATCATGTACGGTAGACTTAACAAATTCGATACAAAATGGTGCGGGATTATACCCTAGCCAAAGAGCATATAAATTCCTGTGTGCTAATTATACATGGAAAAAAACTTTATCTAAGGGGAATAAGGAAGAAGTATATATGTAGCTTATGTATTTTTGTATCTCCCCAGGTAACCATGGTGTGTCAGAGAATGCTGAAGGAGAGAGAGGAACAAGTCTGCCTGGAGTTTGGAAAGATCTTGGAGACAAAGCTTGCTGGTATGTACACGTATGCATAATCCACCTGTTGTGTGATGTGTCTCGCTGGTTTCGGGTACACTACAGTGTGATGTGTGCGTGTCATGAAAGCTGTGAATAGGTCACACATTCGTAGCTTCTTCTAGAAAAATCAGAGCTTTGAGCATCCTCTGAAAAATTTTTGCTCCCATCCACTAAATATTTTTACGTACAATATTTCTGTTAGATGTGGGAAATTTTTTACTGTTTTCTACATGTGGGCTTTCTTGGCCATTCTTGTATATATGTTCTGCCCTTCCACAGAGCAATACGACACGTTCGTCAAGTTCACTCATGATCAGGTGGAGAGAAGACTAGCTGAGTCGGCTTTCAGCTGTGAGCTCCTTTTCTCCTTCAATCCTTCCTTCCTCTCCCTCTTCACCCACCCACTTTTTCTTTCCCTTCCTCTGTGCATTTTCGAATTCCTAGTTGCCTAGCACGTTAGCGTGAGGCAACTACTCCGGGTTGTATTCTCGCGATATGCGTACGTACGTCGTCAATTAGTCACGCTTAGGAATGTCAATTAGTCACCAAAAGGAAGTGTAACTTCCGTCATTCGTAGGAAATCTAGCTTCCGCCTTGCGCGGATTCGTAGGAAGCCTGGCTTCGCGCGCAGTCAGTAGAGCACGTGCACGAGCGGCCTCAATCGGACTGGCTAGGCTGCTGGCAGGCGCGAGGCAAAATATGTGCGTGCGCATTCCTAGTATAATGTTACCTTAGCATTACACTTTTAAATTCTACATCCACATACCACCTACACATTATACTCCCCCTCCTTCCTCCTTCCCTGCTTTCCTCTTTCCCTTCCTGTCTGCATCCTCCCCTCCTCCACTCAACTGCAGATGTGTCGTAACCGTGCCAACCAACCGAGACCACACCCACTACAGGATTCCCTTGGACCTAATCATCACTGCACTTTCCACTGTTTTGCATACTCTCTCACCATTTTATTGTAATATTCTATACTGTATCATATTATTATTACTGGGTGCTTATGCTGCTTGGTGCTTACGTTTCTCTTGATCAAACCTCGGGGGCAAGATAATCCGCTTCTGTGCGCGCATGCTCAATGGGGGTGTATTGTGCGCACGCTGGTGCTTACGTTTCTCTTGATCAAACCTCGGGGGCAAGATAATCCGCTTCTGTGCGCGCATGCTCAATGGGGGTGTATTGTGCGCACGCGCAGGACATTTTGTCCGTATGTATAAATACACATTGTGCGAGCGGTAGGCCAAAGTAAACTTACAAGACGGTGCAAAGAAGAGACTGCGCCTCGCTTTTGTGCCACGTACAGAGCTAAAAACCAGCAGGTTTGTATGTAGCTAAAGACGAAGCGCTACCGTTATCAAGCAGTGCGCTTTTCACGTGCCGCGCTTAGCATGAAACAGCAGTTCTCTGTATATTATTATGCCTAAATTCCACAGGCCGCAGCCCCAGCGCTGACTATATAACTCACACGCAGAGCCACACGACGGGGTCATGGCGACGGAGGTAATGGTTTGCGTTGTGGGACCGAGCCGCGGGCAAGGTCACCTCTTCAAGAGCGGCGAGGGCGCCGGCAAGAGCTGTCTCTGCTACCGCTTCATTCACCCAGGCTTTGACGACTTCATAACGGAACACCCGTCCATCATCGCCTCTCACGAGTTCCAGAGCACCGCCGTCAACAACGTCCACTTTCTTTACTGGGGCCGCAGTCGCCAGAACCTGCCCGGCCGACTCGGGAGGGGAGAACGCACCGTAGACATTCACGTCGTGGAGAACACCGTCCTCTACGAAGACGTCACGTCCAAGCCCTTCCGCAGTGGCGGTAGCAAGGCCGACAATCTGGACACCTACATGAAGCGAGCCCTCGGAAAGTTGGAATCGCCGGGAAAGATATCGTACTGGACGCGTGACGGAATCTCGCTGCCCGACACCTACAAGGCGCAGCGATACCCCACTAACGCCGGGAAGATGCGTCGCGGCTTCGCAGTAGTTGTAGACGTCAGCATGGACGGAATGGAGTTCGACGCTCAACTGCAGCGAACCAAAACCGTCTGCAAAACGCTAAAGAAAGCTGACGCCACGTATGTGCTGGTACTCACCAAGATGGAGAGCGTGGTGCAGGAATCAGTAGACAAGTTCCACCAGCTGAAGAAAAAGGAAAAAATCGGCGCAGATGTAATCACTACTTCCTCCATGTGCAACTACAACATCGCTACAACGTTTCGTATCATCGCCGAAAAAATTCTCAAGACAGTGTACGTCAATATACCCACGTTCGAGCAGGCTGCAGAGAACGAGGCTCGCTGCAAAGACAAGCGCCCAAACGGCTCTTCAGTACTTTCACCACGAAATGGGTCCAGACATCCTCGGAGCGAATCGAGGGAAATCGAGCTAACAGAGCAGTACCGAGCTTGCAAGAGTGCAGTCGGCAATACGAGACTGACAGGATCTTTGCGTTCAAGTTGCTCGAGGTGAAGAAACTCTGAGATGCTGGTTGGAGTCAACGAAGACCCGGACAGAAGGCGAGAGTATCTGGAGGACTTCATCCAGATGCACCCTGACCTGATGCTTACCAGTCTCAGCTGTGAGGTAAGAAAATAGTACAAGCCCACAGTGAGAGGCAGCATGGAGTATTATACCCACATATTATTATCTGGCTTCTCTTTGTCAATGATGGAGGGGGGATTAACACTTAACCAGCCACAACACATAAATTCTTCCAGGGCCTCCATAGGAATTTATATGGGCGGCGCTAATACTTTATTATGTTTATTAAGAAGATACCCATGGCGTCCAAAGGGTTTAAAAACACTGGAGGTTAAGAGTGGGCAACTAGAGGTCCAAGAATCCACTAAGGGGGTGCTGTTTCATGCTGGCTGTTGACATAGTCTATGTGGTTGACATGACAACTATCTCTGGACAGGTATAAAAACTGCATGGATAAGGTCGAATAGAAGTGCACTCCAAAGCCCTGCATAGTGAAAGAGACAGTCACCATCCAGTTTCAACCGAGATAGATGCATGTTTTGTTGGGTTTTCCTTGGAGATTTGCTTGGCTTTGGTATAAAACTAAACAGTCACCACTGACAAACACGTACATACATACTTGCTTGTAGTATAGAGTTTGTATGTAAAATCAGCGCTCAGCTGCAATGATAGTTTTAAGCAAGTTTCTGTTTTTGCAAGGAAGGGGAACTTGCACTTTCATGTTTTTCTCAATTCCTTACCAACATTCCTATTTGCCACTAGCCTATATAGTGTAGATTATGGCGTGTAGATCATGGCTGTAGATCATAACTAGCCCACCCAACTGGAAAAACAGTTAGAAAAGATTTTCTGCAAGATTAGACGAGACATTACTAAATTATTTCTGCTCACCTTGTGTTAAATTTCTACCCTCCGTATCCAGAAATGTTAGCGTGCGCAATGTCATGATCAGCAAAAAGTGTGCTTGTACCTTTACCCAAGCGAGCATTAGCAGGGGTTAAAAGAATTTCACACAGCATTCTTATGACACCAACAGTCATAGGCAGGCTTCTAATTTGCTTATAAGCTCTCTGTGTTAACCTCATAAGTTGGCACCGAAGTGGGCATCATGAAGCAGTTCTTCAACCTAAATGTATATTATAGTGAGGCCAAAACTTGCCCAATGATGAAAATATTCCTCCATAGCTTGGCCATGACTAAGAACCCCCAATTCCACATCTACTGTACATAGGTAATGTAAACCTTACATCCTCTAAAGTTGAAAATACTACGCAGTGTTTGTATACCTGCGGGAAGGGACAACTAGCTAGTACAAAGTAAGGGGCACACTTAGTGGATCAGCCATCCTTGGGAAGTGGTGTCCGCTATGAAAACATTTCGGAGTGGAGCTAGCCATGAATACTTAGGGCTTCTCTGTATGTAGCCAGTGGGTCATTATTGTTTGCCCATGCTCTGGTGCAGTGGGGAGCAGTGAAGTAGTTCTGCAGGGGCTGGCCCACGACACATTTCGTGGCCTGCCTATAGTCGCTGAACACAAGCACAAGAAATGGAGATATTGCTGTTGGCCTGGTTAGGCACCTGTGCCCTATGTTCCCTGCTTGCTAGAGTTGGTCTATAGATAACACAAGCACACACCAGTATACTTACACGTTTTGTACACTCCTCAGCACTTAAGGTCTAATAATGTACATAATTATGCTGATAATCCACTTCAATCAATTAGTTTTAAGTGTGCTGTGCTCAAGCATACCCATTGTGAAAGTATTTGGTCATGGTTCAGTACTATTCCAATGAATTGTTGCGTTAGGGGCCGACCTCTCTTAATTATGGCAAAGTCCATTCTTAATGCTATGCTTGGGGACACTACTGCCCTCAGATTCCTGTAGTCCCTGAAGCTGAGTACTACTCCCGTATTATGTAGAGTGTAGGTATAACTGTGTGTAGTACCAAAGGTTATTTTTGCGCACTGTGTGAGTGTTTGTTCGAAGATAAACAACACCGTATTTGTCATTATTTTGACTAGTGATGTAGCTACACTCTGGACATAGAGTTAGCCAGGTAAGGAAGGCATACCTCTGTGTTCTGGTGTCACTGTGTTGGTTGTGTTGGAAACATACGTGGATTGAGTCCATTCTGTAGTTTACTGACCCTCAAAAGATACGTTGGATGAAACATGCACTGCATGTGGTGGAAATGGCACTTTTTAAGCCGTCCACAGTCGTGGTATCAATCCATGCAATCTAGAGGTGAAAGAAGGAAAGTGTGAGTTGGGACTGCAGGTGGTTGGGTGCTGATGTGCAAGTATCCTGTTTGTCTGCTAGAGTGTAGTGGATAAACAGGCTGGATTGGGATAGTGAATAATAGCAAGGCTACTGTAGGCACAATACTGAGTTTCAATATCATTCTATGTGCCACCAATGCGTGCACTTACGATGAGCAGAGTGTGGTATTAAGCACCATACAAGGAAATTCATGGTGCACTTTCGCGATTCCGCTGCCCAACTGCACAAATGTGCTGTTTTCAGCTACGAATGTGCTGTGCTGTGAATTGGACGCCAGTTGAACGTTTGTGTACAACATAGCTGCCCCATTATATACAAATTTTAATTGGCAAATATTTGTTTCGCCCCCCGTAATTCCACCAGAATATGCCTGCATGGTTTGGCCACACCAGCAGTTCAGTCATGAGGGTATTATGAATACGCTCCCCGAGAGATTGTTTACTGCTAACTAGAGCAGGAGTTTTACAACAGCCACAGCTTTACGTCTCCCTTACCGAGATCACGTAATATGAGCACTGAAGTGCAAACCTTCAGCACTAGTAACAAGTAACGGATGCATTCGCACACAAGAACGAAGCCCAGAAAGTTCTACGCATACTTATAAAGTATTATGGTAAGAAAAGTGCCCTTTCCAAAACTATTTATGAATAGGTGAACTCACTTCTCTTTCTTACCCTTTAATGTCTACATACACGTGTATTGTACTGTTGCATTGTACTGTTGCGTGTATTGCATTGTACTGGTGTATTGTACTGGTGTATTGTACTGTTGCGTGTATTGCACTGGTGTATTGTACTGTGTATTGTACTGGTGTATTGTACTGTTGCTGAATACGAGTCTATGTTTCTCCTCTTTGTCGTGTTGTCTGTTTACAGAATGAGAATATAGTGTTGGGAGACATTGAGATCTCTCCGTTTCCATTGATTGTTTACGAAACAGTGCAGGATAATTGGCGTTCTGGGAACGCCAGATTTACAAAACCGCCAGACCCTTTATTTTCAGTTCTTCAATGGCGCAATGTGCTCTGTGGTACAAGGAAATATATGGTAGACTTTCTTGAGTCATGCGTTCTGACCATCGCTCAGGGTTCCCTGGGTCATGTCTCAACAACTTGGTAGTGACGTAGAAAAGCAAGGCAAGGCAAACAAGTCAACTACACCCAGGACAGCTCTTTGAAAAGAAGAAGAGCTGCCCTGGATTGGGATTCGAACCCACGGCACTCTGCAGTCTAGGCGAGCGCTCTACCAACTAAGCTACCAGGGCAACTCAGATGGTAGGGGTTCGAACACAACACAAGTCAAACTACAATGTAATTTCCGGGAGCATAATGTGTGTGGAACTACACAAGATAAAGAACAATTACATACGTGACTTTGAATTGTACAACGTTACTATTGGTTGCAGCATTGTGATGCGTGAGTGAACGACAAAGGGTTCTTTATAAACTTGTTGTTGCACCTGTTTTGTATGTGTACGGTGCATGGGGTAGTGACTAATTGACATTCTTAAGCGTGACCGACACGTACGTACTTATGCATATCGAATCTCTTAGCTTCAACAGTGATCTAAAAAATCAAACTTCACACACCCACTTCACAGCGTTACTTTCTTGTGGTTGATTATGGTAAAAAAAATCTTTGGGGCAAAGTATACTCACCATGTGATATCGACTACAAAGGGCCCTTTATAAACTTGTTGTTGCACCTGTTTTGTATGTGTACGGTGCATGGGGTAGTGAAACATAAGCAATTGAGGTTGATACCCGTACTGTGACATGCATCATATATACGTCTACCTCAGGAGAGCTTTAGACAAATACGACAACCTCAATGTGTTATGTTTAGCCCTGTCTGCTGAGCTTCCCTGCTGTAGAAACAGCACTTTACCTGTAACAGTGATGTTGGTTTAAATCCTACCCAAGGGAGTGTGTTCTTCTCTTAAAAAAACGGTCCCTTTTAGTGCTAGAAGGGGAAAGGGGGGTCCCCTGTTATTGGTGCAGTTATTTGCCAGAGAATTTGTGTAGAGTGAAGCCACTGAAAAAGGACCCTCCGAATAAAGGACACCTATGTCCTCAATGTGTCCCTTATTCATAGATGTACACTCTCCCCCCTCTCTCTCTCTCCCCCCTCTCTCTCTCTCCCCCCTCTCTCTTCCCCCCTCTCTCTCTCCCCCCTCTCTCTCTCTCCCCCCTCTCTCTCTCTCTCCTCTCTCTCAGGAAAGTCGAAGAACACGTAGCAGACAGCTTGTTGGAGCAGCCAGCTAAAGATACCCCAGTCTCAGAGAACTGTGAGTGAGCCAGGGGGAAAGGAGGAATGCGTTTACACACAGTCTATCTAATAGTCCTTGTTATCACCAAACTGTGCTTGTGGATAAAGGTAGTGTATACCCTGTTAAAATACCAGGTGTAAATACAAGGCAATGAACAAGTAAGGAAACCCTGGACAACACCTGTTTCAGAAGGTGCTCTAGCGTAGGACTCTCATGGCAGAGTGCTCCACCCACTATCAGAAACAATACATGCCGTTTGACTGTATATAGTACATGTTTCAGCTGGGACAGGGACCACACCCTCTCCCCTGCCTTTCCCCGACAAATTTCTTA